GTGATGAAAAAGATTTCCACAAGTACAGAAACTGGTCAGTGTATCTATCCCCAATGCATTTGTTTACTTTCAACAATAAAAGTGTACAATTAAGAACAAGCTGGGGCTAGTTAAAGAAGCATGGAAGCAGGACTGAAGAACACATAGCCATTCATAAACAGTGTTCTATCTTTTTCCTCTTTATTTATATTTCCTGGTAGCATTTGTGATTTAGTTTAAGCCTCTTGGGGAACTGATACAGTTGTGGGTTCCTACCTGTTCACCCCGGATCGGGCAAATCGGTAGTGGTGGCAGCAGGAGGCTTCGCCCACCCACCCAGACACTTCTGCACATGTACAGAAGTGTTGCGCGTGAGCACGCGTGTGCCCACGAGCGAACTAGTAGCATCGAATTTTGAAACCTGCCCCTGAACTGATAGGTAATATAAATGCAGATAAATGTAAATGCAATAATAGAACGGATAACTAACATCAGTTGGCCATACCTTTGTTTTGAAAACAATATTAGTAACCAATTGCAACAATATCTTATAAAAGTTGATGATTTTGGGGGGAAAAGCAATGTAAGGAATTAAATGGAAAATGTTGATATCTCAATCACGAAGCAAGATACAACTGGCAGTCCTGAAGCAATTTCCCTGGAATTATTCTTTATGCAACATCAGCATAAAAATGAATAAGAAATCAACATTTTAGCATTTACAGCAATTTTAAAGAAGGAATACTTCACATCGATAAATCAAAATACATCATAGTACTATGAATACATTATGTTAGAAAGAAGTGGTATCAGTCAGCCTTAAATATTTTTTTTTGCACTTTTGTAGAAAATAATCCAGAGTAACATCTAATATAATTGTTTTTAGAACGTATGATAAGTTATATTTTTCTTAAGATAATTGGAGTCAGGGGCTAGAAGGTTGACTCAGCCTTCCATCCTTATGAGATCAGTAAAATGAGGACCCAGATTGTTGGGGGTAATATGCAGACTCTGTAAACCGCTTACAGAGGGATGTAAAGCACTGTGAAGCAGTGTATAAATCTAAGTGTTATTGCTTTTTAACTTGATTGCATCATGTAGCACTCTCTCTTTTATCTTCCCTACATTGAATTAAAGAAAATAATGAAAGTGATAAATTAAATGTCTGACTCCATAGATCTAAAAATATAATATTACCATCAAAAAATTTGTAAAGGTCATTAAGCTGTTTTGAAATAGAATACAATATTCACAAAATAGACTGCTCGATCAATCTGTGTCTAGCCTTCATTTTGAACAGAAAATAACAATAACAGAGTTGGAAGGGACCTTGGAGGTCTTCTAGTCCAAACCCCTGCTTAGGCAGGAAACCCTACACCATTTCATACAAGTGGTTGTCCAATCTCTTTTTAAAAACTTCCGGTGTTGGAGCATTTGCAAGTTCTGGAGGCAAGTTGTTCCACTAATGAATAGTTCTGTTTCTGGAAATTTCTCCTTAGTTCTAGGTTGCTTCTCTCCTTGATTAGTTTCCACCCATTGCTTCTTGTTCTGCCTTCAGGTGCTTTGGAGAATACGGTAGCTTGACTCCCTCTTCTTTGTGGCAACCCCTGAGATATTGGAACACTCTTTCATGTCATCCCTAGTCCTTTTCATTGAAGCAGACATACTCAGTTCCAGCAACCATTCTTTATATGGCTTAGCCTCCAGTCCCAGTTATCTTTGTTGCCCTTCTCTGCACTCTTTAGAGTCTCAACATCTTTTTTTTAAGTCGTTGAGTTTTTTCAAATGGAGTCATATTAAATCAACATAACCTTTTGCTGTATTATTTTCATCATCACTGAGCAATTTGCTCCATGTCCAGGTATATTCTTTCGACAGTCTATACGTTTTGAGCAAATTATAATCAAATAAGTGCTGCTGTAAAAGTATCATAGTATTGAGTGGGATGCCCTGTATAGTCATTGGAAAGAATGCTTTCCCTTCCCACATCTCAGCATCTAAATATGGGGATGGGGGGGGGAGAAGGTGGCCAAATGCCAAACTGTCATGCCAGGGGATATGCCCTAAGGAACAGGCACAAGTCTTATAATGTGCCTTCTGGAGAAGGGTGTTACCTTGGCACAAAATGTAGGTGGTATGGGGGCTTCTTAAACTGTTCATCATGACCTACTTGGGGGTCACAAACAAATTTAATGACAGTTGTAGCATTGGGGGAAGAGTTGAACATGTAGGGAAGAATTAGTTTCATAATTCATTCCCACTCTGCTGTAACAGCTCCATTGGTCCTTCAAAGATCCACTCCAGATGTTTTTTGTATTGATGGCCATGCCCAGAACATTTCCAAGTAGGACATATGTGCATGTTTCTGTGAATATGGGGGATAGTGTGAGACTGTGAACTGCCTAAACACACGGGCTGAATTATAGGAATTATACAAGTCTGGATGGGCTCAAAATACTAGCAACAGTTTTGTTACTCACCACTAGCTCTTTTGTTTATAGGCCTCTAGATTTTTATTCTGATTAAAGGACTGCAGAGGAATTTGGCTCCAACAACTCTGCCTCAAGGGAAATATTTCTCTCTGTGGATCAAAAACAACTTAAGCAAAAACAACTTCTCTGTTTGTTGTATGTACTCTTGTCTGAGGGATTATGTTCACCCTTACCTTCTCCAATTAGTTGAGCTTTCTCTTATTAGACTTGGAAAACAAGGACCTTTTATTGTTTATGAAAGGTACTAAGAAACTTCACACCCTGCTATGCATCATTCAGTTACAAAGAAGAAATTTATACCTTGTTGGATGCATTATACAGAATCAATTATTGATTGACTTGTACGACTAGAATGCCTGGTAAATTCAAGTCCTCCAAGAGAAGATACAATTTCCTTCAAAAAATATCTCTCTCTTGTGGATAAGCGCTACTGTAGTACTGTTTGCAGTTCAGAAGCAGAATAAATTATTTAAAGAATGTAAGTCTTATTTCTTTTATGTAGAAACAAATTGTTGTTTTCAATATGCACACACACTTGCTCTAGATTAAACCAGAAGGAATGTCTAATCCAGCATGAATGATTTTGTTGTTTTAAAGTACTTCTGTTTGACCTGAATTTCCCTATTTTCAGCCACATTGCAGAATCCTGTTAATTTTCTTGGTATCATGAATTATTTTGTAAAGTTTTATTGTGTCCTTTCTTAGTCATTTTTAACCTAAAACATGCAAATACAATCATTGTCTGCTTTTTTGCATTGCTTACAATTGCCAAATCCTAAATTGCTTTCTGAAGCCATAGGGTCAGTTTAAAATCTATTGATTTAATTTCAGATTCTGTTAATTTGATTGACACCTCTGATAGTCATGATAATTCCTTAGTGTTGAAAAATCCTTTTAAAACTCTTCTCTATTCTCTTCATTTTAAGTACAGTACCAAAATTTCAACCTTGGTCTTGTTTATTATGGGTAGTCTTCATTCTGATATATATATTAGTTTACTCTAAATGTTACTGAAACAAGAAAGTCCTTCTACTCATCCTGAGACAGAAGGCATAATTTATGGGCACTTCTATAAAATATACACTTTATACAGTATATACACAATACACACCGAAAAACAGCTGTCTTTCTGGCAAATATAAAAAATATGCACCCACTCATTACATCCCTTCAAATAAATGTATCTAATCCTCCCAAATATGCACATCTTAATGTATACAAAATGCTTAAAATGTATTTGGATCCCTTTGCTATATATAGCTTTGTGTTTTTATTTCTGACGATTTGCCACAACAATAGAGCAAGAAATAAAAGCACAACATGCTTAACCATAGTTTATACAATAAAAATCTATATTAGTTGAGTTTGCACAATATTTGAAACTATAAACAATGCTTCACAAACCACAAAGGTTGGGCTCATACAATCAAGACTGGACAAATTATTATAAATTAGCATGTTATAAAAACCCAGTTTATATGTCCATGGAGATTCTTAGTCATCCAGACTATGGTTGTCCCAAAGGTGCTTTTTCATGAGGCACCTGGACTTTCTTGTTATTCTTTGAAGATGTTTCCCTTCTCATCCAAGAAGCTTCTTCAGCGCTAATGTCAGAGCTGAAGAAGCTCTGAAGAAGCTTCTTGGATGAGAAGCAAAACATCTTCAAAGAAAAAGAAGAAAATCAAGTTGCCTCTTGAAAAAGCACCTTTGGGACAACCCAGTTTATAAAAAAAAAAAAAGAAGGCGGCAGCAAGTACCCACAGGATGCCTGGGAGCAGATTCCTTTATCTTTTTGGCAGGTCAGAACTGAAGGTGAGATTATGATGTGCGATTAAACAAACACAGGTCTGCTACAGCTTGCAAACCATTTTCTGTACGGCAACCACAACATTATCTCAGTTATGTTTTTAAAAGGACCAGCCTTTACTGTAAGAAAAGTTAACATGTAATAATATCATTTAAACAGCCAATGCTAAATAAAGCGGAAAGGTTCTCCCATTACTTGCACTTGAAAAATGTGTGTGTCTGTACGTACACATAATTTTAACTCTCTAATAATTGTTAGTGCAAACTAATCCCGAGCAACACATTGAAGAAGACATGCATAGCGCTTTCCTTGGGAGTGCAGTGCAACATGGAAGCTTTGGTAGGTATCCTAACGCGAGCGTCAAAAGGGACGGGGAGTAAATCCACCCCCACCACCAAAAAAAACCCAGTGCGCTTGTTCGCCTGAGAGAGGGATAGATAGATGTCATCGCATTTATTTAATAAATAGCAAACGAGGCCGACTCGCCCGTGTTGTTGTTGTTGTTTTCCCTCCAGAGAGCGCGCCTCCCCACCACCCACACGGCAGCGCAACTCGGTTGGACTTCGGGAGAAGTCGGAACGCTTCGGAGCCTCGGCGAGGGAGGGCGGGGGAGGCAGAACCGGAGGAACCGTGAGAAACGACTCGGGCGACTTCTCGCGAGAAACTTGTCGTCGGCCATTTTGCCATTGATTGGCGCAGACGGCGATAGGGGGGAGGGCGCCTTGGCTGAGTGGAAGGGTAGGGGGGCCGGGCGATAGGGGGGAGGGAGGGAAAGGACGGTTAGGAGAAGAGAAAAGCGGAGAGAGGAACATGAGGATGAGTCTCCCGCGACACCCTTCGCCGCCTTCTCCCTCCACCACCACCACCACCACCTCCTCTTCTTCCTCCGGAGGCTCTTCTTGCTGACGACGACTCCCCGCCCGAGTCCTCCGAGTCCTCCTCCCCCCCCCCGCCGGCCCCAAGCTGGCTGCGCCACTGGCCATGGTGCCCAGCGAAGACAACCAGCTGGTCCCTAAAGAGGTGAGCGCTCCTTTCGCGCACGCTTCTTCTTTCCGGACGCCTGAGGGCGGCGAAGGAAGAGAGGCCAAGCGACGCCTCTGCCTGTGCGGGAGAAGGGCGAAGAGGCGAAGGCCTCCTTGTCGCGGTGGGGGTTAGGGTAAAAGGGAGCGCCAAGGCGGAGGAGAATAATCCCTCGCCGCAAGGGAGCTGGCCGTGGTTGAAGCGGTCTCGCTGCGAAGGCCGGCAGGTCGGGCGGAGAGAGAGAAGCGGGGTAGATTCCAACGAGCGGCGTCTTAAGGGGAAAGGCCTAGCGGCCGCTTGGAGAGGCCCTACGGCAGAGGCGCTGGGAAAGGACGATTTAACAAGGTCTCGGCAAGAGGCGGCGGCGGCGGGCCGGAGGGTTTAGGGCCGGTTTGGTGGCGGCGGGTGGGGGGGGGATGGATAAGAGCTGTCAGTCGCGGGAAGCCTGGGGGTGAGAAGAGATTTGAAGGGTTGTCATTCCGGCTATTTGGGGGGTGGGGGGGTAGCAGACCTTTGGGAGATTTCCCCCCCCCCAATTTTTTCTCCTCAAGGGCAGCTTTGATAGGGAGAGCAGTTACGCGCAGAATGGCTTTTGCTGAATGGTTTTTGCGTTCGGCCCCCGAAGCGATAGAAAACATCCTTGGGTGGGAAGGGCATGATGGTTAAGTCAAGAACTAACCATCGTAAGTACGAAAAAAAAATATATATATAGGTCCGCTCTCTTTGGAGGCAGGTGTTTTGCAGGTGTGGATAAAAGTTGTTGGAAAGAGGAGCGTCTTTTCGGTTAGTTTTCAGAACTGAGTTTTGTGAATTGGAGCGGATGGTGTTAGTATTTTTTTTTTTTTAAAAAAAATAGGATTATAGTCTTGCGATTGCTACCACGTCTATTAAAATGAGTTTTCTTCTTGCTAGCGTTCCCCCACTATGGCAGGGTCCTTGAAATGAGTTTTAAGCTATTTTAATTGACTTATAAATTGCACTTTACTTTTGTGAGTGTTACTGTGTGCTAAGGTTATTGATTTTTATCAGGGATAGTTTTATGGGCCATTGGATGATGTAGTACAGTAATAGGATTGGAGTCAGATTGGTCTAGTAGTGGTTAAGGTGGTGGATTAGAAGTTGAGAGACTGGGAAGCTTTGAGTTTTCATCCTGCTTTAGGCATGGAGGCCAACTAGATGTCTTTGAGCTGGACTATCTCTTTCAGCCCTAGGAAGAAGATACTGGCAAGCCATTTCTGATAATGTTGCTAGAAAAAAAAATGCATGGACTTGTTCCTGCAGTCACTGGGAATCAGATTTGATAGACAACAACAACAGAAGTGTAGTAGTAGAAGTAGCAGTGTTCCACATAGAACTGTAGCTGTCAAATTTTATTTTTTGAAGGAATCTTTATCTATTCAATTTGTCTGCCATAGAATCACTATGCACAGTAAAAGATACTGTGATTTCTTCTGTTGGCCTATAGAATGTATGCTTAGATCACAGGGTTGAAATTAGGCTTAGTGGTTCTCATACTTGTCCCTTGTGATTTGAAAGTTCATTTGAGAACACAAGTAATATTTGTTATTATACGCAACAATGTAAAATCACAGCTGCCAGTTCTTTAGCCAGTGTTGGCTTCAAATTCACCTTGAATTCTTCCCAGGAACCTAAGATGTCATAATGTACTGGCCTAATATATTTGCAGTTCCAAGCAGTATGACCTTTTGTAATTGAATGATGGAAATTTTCTCAAAGCACAGATTTTCTAAGTGCTATCCAAGATATTTTTATATGGCACTTAGTTGTGTAACCACCACTGCCAATTTATGCGATAATCTTTCAATTTTGATTTTCAGATCTTGATACTTTGTGATCTTCTCCAATTCTCTCTCCCTTATTCTACATAATCTGGTATTATCCACACTTTTTTCTTTCCAACCACAATTAAATCTGGCGCATTATGCTCTGAGACTTTATCATCTTATATTTGACATGTAATATTATTATTATGAAATGGTTATATAGTGTCATTGAGACAACATGAATTTGCGTAAACTCTGGAAAACAGTGGAGGACAAGGGATCCTGGTGTGCTATGATCCATGGAATTGCAAAGAGTTGGACATGACTTAGTGAATAACATTTATTATTAGATTTTTATCTTTTTGATATACAGTATATTAGATCATCTCAAAGCGACAAACATACCTAAATTCCTTGCCTCCTATTTTCTACACATAACCCTGCGAAGTGTGTTGGACTGAGAGAGAATGATTGATCCAAAGTCACCCAGAAGGCTTTCTATACCAAAGGGAGGCCTAGAGCTCCCAGCTCTTCCGGTTTCCGGCACTGCTGCATGCACAAAGGCCAGCTGATTGTCGCATGCATGCCAGAAACCCAGAAGAGGAACGGACAACGCTGTGCATGCCAGGTGACATGACTCCGTGTGCCACTTCGGATAAGCGTGCCATAGGTTCGCTATCTTGGCTCTAGTTCCTAGGCCAGCATTTTAGCCACTACATCAAAGTGACTCAGTTTACTTTCCCTCTCCAACTTTATCATATAGAAAAATAAACAGTATAGACAAATGTAATTCTCAGGAAAGCTGATTTATCCTGATTTAATCTTTTTTTATTTGTAAACTGCCCAGAGTCACTTAGGTGAGATGTGTGGAGTAGAAATTTGATAAATCTTGTTATTCATAAATTCTGGTTCTCCTAAGGAAATTTCAGATTGGTAGATATGTTAATAAAGAAAATTGTGCAGTAGATATCACTGGTACATCAGACTAAATACGTTACCACTTTAAAAGAAGGTATATGTTAAGTGTACAGAACCTCTGTCAATACCCTTGCACGGTATGCAGAAATCTTATGTTAGGTTTTGATACTGAAGCAGCTTACAAGATGTATGGCAGCTTAATATAACAAGTGAATTTTACTGTAAAAATAGTGTCATGTTTAATTATTTTGATACCAGAGAAAACTGGGGTGGGGATTTTAATATTTAGGTGGTGACACAGCATATAATCACAATTCATTGCTGAACTGGAATCCTGATTCTAAACTTATTACCATATTCAGTATAATATATCTGTTTTATGGCATTAATGTAATTAACTTCATAAAAAACACATAAAGTAGCTGTTTCTGTAAACAGTATTTTCCTGTTATTCCACCCTATCCACCATAATATTGTTATATCTTGTTTATCTTGATGTTGCGGTTTGGTGTATTTCTTAAACCCTAGCCAGCATTAATCAGCATTTTTCTACCTTAAGCCTTAATTCAATACATTAGTATTAAATAAATCTTCTCCAACTTTGATTCATTGCAGGTCTATGCACTTTAGTTTCTAGAATTTTCAGGAGTGACCATGCTAGCTGGGGACTTCAGAGAATTGAAGTCCACCCATCTGGAAAGTGTCCAACTTGGGCAATGCTGTACTAAATGATAGCAAGGACATTATTTTGGCGGCAGTTTTATTTTTAAAAGTAATGGACAACTCTGCCTATAAAGTTTAAAATCCTAATAATATGTAATGATTATCTAGATATACATAGATCACATTGAATGAGAGAGAAAAGAATAATAGTTCAGCATTACTTGGTGTCCAAGAAGCAAAGGGAGTGTTCGGCAGTAATTATAGATAACTAGCCTAGGCTGGAATGATTAATGGCAGAGTCTGGCTGTGATCATTGTGCTTCTAGTTATAAAAGATAGCATTTAGGCTATCAATTTAAACAGCATGAGCCATGAGGATTTAAAATGCTTTCCCTTTTTGTGAAAAGGATTCTGGAGAAAACAGGAAATAATTTTCCCAAATCATATATTTTGAAGAAATCAGTTACTTATATCTATAAATAATATAAAGAAATAAATACTTTATAGTGTTACATAATTTTATCTTTCTGGTTTTCTTAATTTGAGGTAATCCTGCTTTGAAATTAATCTCATGTTTCTTTATTGAGAAATAACATCTGAATTTATGAATTATAAATTAATTGCCAAATTATAAAAAGCATTTTTAAATTCAGCAGAGTTTATTTTTCAAGTATGTGTGTTTATGAACGCAACCTAGTGTTAAAAGTATTTTTATATATAGGAAAATAGAAAAATACACTATTCCATATTTGTGTAATGATAATGACAAGAAAAACATGCAGTATGATACTTTACATTCTCCATTTAATGATTGCTTAAGAAATATGGTAAAAAACTTCATAAAAACCAAGAATGCTTTTATTTATATTATTCATATGTAATTAATTCCTAAGCATTTGTTCAGAGTCCATGTATTAAACTTTGAATGCTTGTTCTACAACATGAATGAAAACAAATTACTGATTTCTTTTTGAAGCTTAACAAATTCTGAGGTATCAGATGAAATACCACTATATATTAAAAAAAAAAAAGAGAGAAACCTTGATATAACTAGTATCAATCATATTGTTGTAGCAGGGTTCATATTTAAAAGCACCAGGGAAGTGTAGAATTGTCTTGTGTGCCTTATGCATTTTTGCAATAATGGTGAGATGAGGCTAGTATGAATGTCTGTAAAATAGACCTTGGAGAAGCACATGATTTGTTGTTTCTGTGTGTCCAGTCACAGGAACATTGTCTCTGTGGGTAGGGAATCTTCCTGTATCAGAATCTTCAAGGACAGCTGAAGGGAGGACATGACATCATGCCAGTGATTAAATACTTCGAATTTAGTTAAGTATGTTATAGGGGAGGCAAAGTATCTGTTGGATTCACTGGCAATAAAGGTGGGAACTTGTCTATATCAAATTGGTGCTCTGTGGCTACTGCGGGCTGTTTAATGAGAGCTTTGGCCCGATCACATCCCAATCATCCCATGCTGAGTAGAACACCTGGGTTATCAGATAAGAGTATGCCCACACAGTAGCTTCCACTTTCATGAGGTCTATCTCTAGTCTCTAAGAGGCATTATAGACACCTTTTTGGGCTTGAAGAGCCAGTCTTAGAAATTTGGATTGAACAAGCTCTAATAGTGCAGAGTTGGAGAAAAGGCCATAAAGAAGTTATGCAGTTGGTTTGGCTTTGAACAATATGAGTGCCGCAGGTATATTTCATGAGGAATTTAAGGATGACAGATTAAATGTATTACAGCATCATCTGCATAGAGCAGAGCAGAGATGGTCTTCCAGTTTTCAGGAATGAAAGTTTGTGTTGAGGAGATAGCCTACCATGAAGTTAATAGCACTTAACAATATCCCTTAGCAAAGCTGGAATTCTGGGAGTTGAAGTCCACAAGTCTTAAAGTTACCAAAGTTGGAGACCCCTGCCTTAGACTTACATACTGCTTCAGAGTGCTTTACAGCTCTCTATGCAATTTACAGAGTCAGCATACTACCCTCAACAATCTGGGTCCTCATTTTACTGTCCTCAGAAGGATGGAAGGCCGAGTCAACCTTGAGCCAGTGGGAATCGAACTCTGGCAGTCAGCAGAATTAGCCTGCAAAACTGCATTATAATTATTGCGCCACCACCATTAATATAAACATTTAAGTTAATCTAAAAATTGAATAAGAGTGGGACCAATATGCAGCTTTGCTTGATGATCAGTTCCAATTGCAATGAGATCCCTTTATATAGCATATGTATTAGATATAATAAGCATCTGGCATTGAAGGTTTCCCGAGTATTTCCCATATTTAACTCAGAATACAAAATCAAAAGCTACTTTAAAGTTTGTAAAGGCAGGACAAAGAGATGTATTGCAGGAGAATATTTTTCAAGCAGATGTACGAATACTAGGCAGTAATAAATGGTGGATTGGCCTTCCTTAAACCTGGCTCGCTCTTCTGTAACTATGTTTTCCTGTCCCAGCCAGTCCTGGAATTTCCATTGTAGGTGTCTTGCATAGATTTATGCTGATTGTGTTGAATCATTCCAATTTTAGTATATGTGCTGCCGAAGTGAGCACTGATTTATGCTGATTGTGTTGAGGAGGCTGATCCATTTATAATCAGCAGGATCATGCTTTCACCTTTTAGATAGATAGATAGATAGATAGATAGATAGATAGATAGATAGATAGATAGATAGATATAGACGGACGGGATGGAAGGACGGAGAGACAGAGTTTCCCCCAAAATATGATCTATTCAGGAAGCAAGTCCTAGCTTGATTTTTACACATGTGCTCAATATAAGCCCTCCCCAAAAATAAGCCCTAATTAAGACCCTGCCCTCTCCAGGACTGATCCGGAGCTCTGTTATTGCTGCAGAGGCCTTCAGGAAAGCCTTGCTGGCCTTGCCAGCCAAAGAAGTTCCTGAAGGCCTCTGACAGCGAAAAGGAAGCCGGGGGCGACATGTGCAAGTGAGGTGAGTCAGTGGATAACACCCCCACCCCCACCCCGAAAATATGGCACATGGTGCCTTTTTTGGTGGCAAAAAAATATAATACGTCTTATTTTGGGGAAAACATGGTAGGTAGGGAGAAAGGGAGAAAGAGAGATGATTAAAAGTCCCCAATCTTTGGGGATTCAGCTATAGCTGTTGATGCAGGTAAAAGTGAAGCCAGGATGGGACGTAGAACCCCAAGTTAATGGATTCTGAAATGATTAGATCATCTTCTAAGACCTTTTGTAGTCTTAGTTAAGCAACAAGATTCTTGATCTCTGTCATTGTCACTGGTGCCCATGTTGGCAAATGTTCTTAGTTTGACTAGGATGTCTACTTCCAATAGAGATGCCATGTAGAGTTCCTGAAAATATGCCTTCCAGGACCTGCAGGGCTGATGTGACAATCCACCATAGAATGACTATTTCTTTGGAAGCTTGATGTGATATGCCAAAATGAGGATGGACCATTGGATTTGACTACTTGAATGAATTGGGTCAAGTTATTTTTTATTGCTTCTTTTTTGTTGTATGCCAGAAGTTGCTTGTAGTATCTTTTCTTCTGGAGGAGAAGTTGTCAACATAATATTGGATAAATAAACCTGTAATGTTAGCAAGAGCTTTTTTGGCATTAACACAGTCATCAAACCATGGCTTGAGTAGTGCTATTTTTGCTTCAAGGGCACTGACCTGGTGTGTATCACCGAAATCAGGATAGGACCAAAATGAGATTTTCCCTTTTCTGAGATATGCCCTGTTGGGTTTGGGATGTGGCATCAACTGAGACCCCAGGATAGGGGTGGTGCAGTGGCAGTGCTCATCCAAAATACTTGAGAGACATCCAGGGGCACTATCCAATAGATTACTGGGTGTGAGATCCTATTTATTAGGTTGGGTTCTAGGGTTTAGTTGGGATTATTGCTATTCTTCCAGTTTCCTTGCTGTGTGGCAATCTTCCTTTCTGAACTCCTTGACTCCAGGTTAGTGGTGAAGTTCCTCAGATTTATGGTCTTGAGAGGCATTACCTTGTCATCTGTAGGTGTGGACTTGGAAGTTCATGGCCATTGTGACAGCCATGGGCCTGTAGCAAGTCACCCATGGCCAATGTTTAATAGTGGTCATACATGTGATCTTTTATTTATGTCTGAATAGTGGCAAGGTGTTGAGGATTTGAGGGAAATACTGATTTCTCCTCTGTCATAGTCAAATCACAGTTCTGAATTTGCAAGTCTCTGGTGTCGCCCACCCCTCCCTACAGGAAGGCTGGAGTTATTGTATTAGTTCATTCCAGACAGCTAGTGGACCTGGTTGCGTTCCAGAGGGAGCTTAAAGTTATTTCAGAAACTGAAGCAGTTGACTTGTTTAGTGATCATTCAGTTATTATGGTGGTGACAAATGAATGGCTGCTTCTGTATTGTTCAGAAAGCTATCCAAATTTTTTCAAATGTATAGAATACTAGGGTTGATAGTACATTTTGGGATTTTCCTGACCCATTTTGGGGAGACACACAAAAAATACATAAGTATTTTAGGAAATTTAGTACTTCATATGGGATACCAGTTTCTTCACTTAGACAAATACGTTTTAGTGTATTGATTTTAGTAAATTTTGTCATTAGCCGTTTAGTCCCATGTTATACTCCCATGTACTTTTTTGTAGAATTAAACCAATCTTTTTTTATACATATTAAATATTCATTTGTGTGAGAAAATGAATTTTACATTGGCTAAAAGTTAGCTTCTTTAAAAGCTGAATTTTTAAGTAAATATTTGATAGCATAATCATACTATTTTGTGTTTATATATCTTAGGAGATGCTTTGGAGATGCAGACAGAATATATTTGATGAAATGAAGAAGAAATTTTCACAGGTAGTTTAGTTGAAGTGAATGTTTAAAACAGCTCAGTTTTGATAGCATGAAATTAGCACTGTGCACGAGTAAATAAAATGATTTGCAAATGCATTAGAGTACTAATTTTTAATATATTTCTAAGAGTGGAGGATGATTTGGTATCTTATATGAAACTAAGACTTCATTTTAATATCTACAAAAATCAAAAGCATGGTTTTGAAAATTCTAATAAATGATAATTTGCATGACTTCAACTTTGAAACTTATAGTTTCAAAACCGATACTAACGAAAGGTATTCTGGATAATTTAAAAATTGTGCACCTTTTTCAATTAATTTAGCAAAGGTACTGCTCTAATACCGTTTTTGGAATTCTAGTCAAAACAGCTTGCTTTGTTTTTTATATTAAGTTGTATTTTAGTTAACTGACAAATGTGAAGTATGAAATAGTTGATGAAAGTACCTTGTGTGTTTTATTTCAACTTTTCAAAGTTTCAAAGTTACACTGCTCATACTAATATTTCAGTACACAAATACTTCTGCTCTTTCTGTTGGATGTGGGACTTTTCTACCAATAGAATAGACATTATATATATATTTAAAAGTAAAATAGCCGTTCTCTTACTTATCAGCTTTTTCAATTTCTTCTGTGCTATTTTTTTTTTAATGGTTGGAATATTTTATAGATAGTCCTCATTTAACAATCACAATTGGAGGTAGCAACTCTTTCGTTAAGCTAAATGAAATTGCGACTGTGCTTATGATCTCATTTCAACTTTTCTTTCTTTATAGAGGTTGTAAATGTGAGGAATGGTTGTAAAGTTACTTTTTCATCACTATCATAACTGAACAATCGCTAAACAAAGACCAAATGAGATGCTGTTACTGAAGAGTTAATAGCATTAATGTGTCATAGCATAGTATTTCAAATTAGAAAAAAACAAAGTATGACAATGAACATAATCCAGAAATTGCCCATTCTAAAAGGTAACCCGTATGATCAATTTTTAATAAATACATGTTTTAATTTTTAATTCCCTCTTGTTTTTTGTGTAATTCAGTTTCATCCTAGTTGCAATGCGTCCTTTCCTAAGCAGAAAGAACAAAATAGAAAGTGATCTAGGAGGGAGTACCATTTTTTTTTCAAAGTGAAGCAAGTCTCTGTATGTATCAATATCTTCGTTTGCATGCAAACTGACCATTTTGATAATCATCTAATTACATGAATAGCATTAATAGACTCTCAGAGAGAACCTTGTATCCTCTTACTTGATCATTATAAAGCAACATGCAATTTCAGGCAAAAATTGCTTTTTTCTAGTTAATGTGTTACTTTTTTTTTAGGAAGGGCATAGAAATGTTACGTCTCAATTAATTTTTTTTGTTTCTAAGCCCAGCCTAAATGTGAATATATATTATTTGACTTAGAAGTACACTTGCTTAGTTCTGTAGGATCTAAAAATATGATGTCTTGCCTTTTGGTTTCTCACTTTCTAGTTTTCTGTTCTGATTTTTAATAATTAATTTTTCATGCTGTTTTCAGTTATTGACAAATAGCATTTTTATTGTAAGCACCATTCATCTCTGCAAGCAAGTAGGCACTTTTAAAGTGGTTCTCCTTATAAATTCTTTGGAATTTCCTAGAAGGCTTAGGGAATTTCCCAGTGATTTAGTGAACAGCTTGATTATGTATCTAGTCAACCTCTGAATAACATTGCCTCCAAATGGCCTCTGCATTGATTGATCTTGGGTTTCTCCTTGATCAGATGAGTGGTTCCTAGATATGAAACAACAAAATAAATTCCTAGAATGATGCTGCCAGAGAGAAAAAAACAAATGCAAATGAACATGAAATAAATCCAGATTTGTACCTACAAATGGTGGTTAGGGCAAAAGAACATTGTTATTACTCAATCCTTATTGCAGGATACTGCCCAGCAGCTTTATTCAAAACAACCTGGGTTTTGATGAAATGGATAGGGTTCTCAGTGGGATACCCTATCTAGAGTGAATTGGATACTTGCCCATGCTAGCTCAACCAGAGAAGACATAAAAAGATGGATTCAAGAGAGGGTGAATATCTCTCAAATGGAACATTCTTCAAAGAGGCAGTGGTGTACTCCTTTCTTAAGAGGCTCCCACTCCATCCAGTCATCTTAAATAACTTCTGCCTGATCTTTCTTTTTTAGAAAAGATATTAAAGTGATCTTCTTTCTTCAGAATGACATAGATGCAAAGTACTTAGATCCATTTAAGATTTAGAATATGAGAATGGGTGGAAAATTGGTAGTCTCCTGAGTTGTCAGCATTAGTTAGGGATTAGAAATGTTTTTCTGCAGAGTTATACACCTTGGACACTGAGCAGTTTTGCAGGAGGTAAGATGGAATGAGAGATGAAATCATTGGCCATTTCATTATGATGGATTCCTAGTTCCACCCCCTTCCTTATATTGACCTCTGTATGAAGCTTATGGAAGAGGTCATCCGTTGGCATATGCAAGGTATCAAAATGTAGGTTATCTCCTATGTCTCCCTGGGTAAAAATGTTGACTGGGTGGTTTAGAGGCTTCAAGGACTAGATATGGAAAAACCTCATTCCAGTGAGATGGAATGGCAGTTGACTGAGATGTTTTCTCATCCCAGCACAGTTCACCCATATTGCAAATCAGCTTCTGCAGGGGGAGGGAAATCAGTTTCCATTGCAGCCTAAAGTTTCTCCTCCCCTTCTTCTCATCTTGTAGCTCCTGCTACAGTGGCAGGTGGAAGTTGTAGCCAAGAGCTGCACTAATCTTGGAATGAGATGAATTAGGTATGTTCATTTAGGCTCTTGTTATCTATTGGTTGCATTTTTGCAATTCCTTCTACATGAACTGCCTTTGAAGACATCTTAAAAACTTCATGTGGTACAAAATGCATCTGCCTGCTTGAAGGTGAGACCTATTACAATCAGATTATATTATTGTAGCAACTTTATAGCTGCCACTTTGTTGGCAGGTACAATTCAACATATTGGATATTATCTATAAAACTTTATATGATTTGAATCCTGGGTATTTTTCAGACATTTATCCATATGGGATATGCTTGCCTAATACAGTCAGCAGAAAGGGCAAGCTTCATGTCCCCACTCACTGGGAGATAGATGGAGTGAAGACATCTTAGATAAAGCTCTAATACATTGTTAGTACAATATTATTAATATATAGAGTATATTAATCACTTGATGAAAGGTTTTTCACTTCCTAAATTGGAAACAATAATTATTGTAATTCCTGACCCCTATAAAATTTTGCAACAAATTTTTACTTCTCTTTTAAAGATTTTAAATTTTTATTCAACTAATTGAAAATAGACTCAGTAATTGGTAAATTGGTTAATTTAGATCAAGATGTCATTTCTAATCATTTTTGTAAATTTGGCCATATTTAAAAAAAAAATGGACCTAATCTATTAATCATCAATAGCATTACTTCCTTGAATTTGTATAAAATATATTGAACAAGGGATACCAATCAGAACTGTCTTTCATTATTTTTTTCCTTTTCTCTTGGTTGTGGAATAATTAATAATAGCTACAAGAAATATTCACAAAATTAAAGGTTTAGAAGTAAGGAGAAAAAAAATGTGTTGATTTTATCTCTAGAGCCTATGAGTCTTGGGATATCCAAGCCATCTCAAGCAGTTTTTGGACTAACAAAATATTAAGAGGTAAAGTAAGGCTTGTAAAGTTTTGACCCACAGTCCATAATACTGTCAGTTCTAGATAGGCTGCAGAACCAGAAATTCTATTGGCCTATAGAATTTTCAGATAATAATAAAAATAAGCCTATTAATGGACTGTAATTAGATAGCAAGTCTGGTTGTGTTTGGTTGGTTTAAACTGCAGGCCTGCTTTATGTTAAAAGATTTGTGATGCTGGTAAGTTTTGATATCACTTAGAGTTACTTAGACAACAACATGAGCAGCATATAAATTAAATAAATACGACTACCTTGTTTGTTTACACTATTTCAGAATGTGGTTACGCTAAAAAATAAGTCAGAATGGTTGTATTTTTAAAACTGTTATAAGACATAAATGCAGTTGCTAATCTAAATCTAACAAAAAATTTAAAAACTTTGCATTGTTAAAGCAATTAATTTAAATAATTAATTGGTTTAACAAAGCAACAAAACAGTTTTTTAGAACATGGACATAGCAATTACAAAATATTTTCCACTGTCACAACTACTATGGTTTTGGAACTTATGCAATATCTTTCTTTGAATTAGAAGCTTAATCCAGCATGGTGTTTTAATATAGAATGTCTGTGCTACATTTGCACATGTCATAGTCATGAACTCAGTTTATGCTTGGATCTTCGTGCCAGCAGGCATGACTCTGTACTTTGTTCAGCATTGATTTCTGGCTTGTGTCTTCTTAATATATTTGTATACGCTTCCCCTATACTAATTCTGTGTGCGGAAAAAGTTGCATTAAAAAATTCATCTACATTTTCATTTGTATCTAGATATGTTTTTATAGTATAAGCTATGCAGATTCTATGAAATAGTGTCTACATTTAATAAGCATTTAAGCAGCTGTATACTGTTCCAGTCAATATTTCCTAATTGTCTTTGAATATAATCAAATAATAATTTAGGTTTTATAGGAATTGATAGTATAAAATTGATTAACAGATATTCTGATTAAAGCTGTAGAGCCTGGATGATACAGTTTTAACAAGGTCAACTAGGACCAAATAGTTGTATTCAAGGGAACCTGTTGATGTTCTTCTATTTTTGAAAATTGTTCATATTATTTTGTTTAAATTTCTTAAATTACAGTGTTCCATCTGTAAACTGAAATTGCATAGTTAAGAGAAATGACTTTCTAAAATAGAACATACCTTTGTAATCTATTTGTTCCTTTCATTTCAGATTGAAAATGCTGCTGATGAACTTAGAGTGCTTTGTATAATACAAGATACTACCAATGCTAAAACAGTGAATGAGCGCATCACATTGAATTTGCCAGCTTCCACCACAGTAAAAAAACTATTTGAAGATATAGCCTCCAAAGTGGGCTATGTTAATGGAACATTTGATTTAATTTGGGGAAATGGAGTCAATGTTGCTAATACGGTAAAAGCAAATATCTACTAGTTTTAGGCATTTTAATAGAATACTTTTAAATGGCTGATGTACAATTTTTTCTGTTCATTTTCATGGTATTTTTCATATTAGCACTTGTTTTCCCTTAATAATCCTTTTTTTGTTCAAGACAAAATTTTCTCTGGTGTAATGTGGAAAAATATTTTAATGCAATTTTTCATAAAATAATATGTAACACATAACATAACAGATAAAATATTTATTTATTTTCAATTATTTCTTTAATTTATTTTTATTTTCTGACTTACTGTTTTCTGAAGATGACAACAGCTAACTAAATTTTTTCTGATTATCTTAAAAGCATAATGCCTTGTATTAATGTGGGTATAAAAACAAGTAAAATTTAATAATCCTGTAGTAGTTTTGGGTGAAGGAACAAACAGTGCTGTTTGTTAGATTTTTTTTTTTAATCAAGACATTAAAAAATAGTTGGTAATTTCTACTGAAAGCATCTATCTTTTAATATGTTTCTGCCAATTATCGTCTTAAATTCATCTGTTGCATACTCTGAGTCAGTCAGTCTATGGTATAAAGCCTGCAACATCTTTTATGAACTGATGAGAATGGGATGGTTTATTTATTTATTTATTCATTTATTTTTATCTTTCTGTTTTTAATAAGATCAAATCAATGTTCATATTTAAAATATAAAATAATTAGAAAGCAATGAATTAAATCCTCTGACCTGTAGTTTTATTCTTTTACCTTCTCATTAAAGGTCTTAGATATACTGCACTTTTAATACCTGTGAACGTTATTTTTAGTATTTAAGTTCCAGTGTGTTACTATTTAGGTCATTAGGAGATTTATTAAATAATAATTGTAAATTAAATGGTAGGCAAGCATATATTGTAATAAATGTTTGTTATTTAATTTTGACAATCTTGAGGAATATGGATTTTCTTTTTAAGAAAAATATCTTATCTAATTTATGCTCAACATAAAGAAAATTTGTTAATTGACAGTAATATTTCATTGTATTTATATTACTTCTATAGAGTTAAAGGAATATGCAGCTATTCTTCTTATGCCTGAGTTTGGAAAATGTATACTAACAATTCTAATAAATAAATAATTTTATTTTGTTTACTGTAGACACCACTGGATCATTTGAGTGATAAATCTGTTGTTGATTCTGGTTTTGAACCTGGGAAAAAGAATTTTCTGCATTTGACGGATAAAGATGGAGAACAACCTCAAGTGGTATTGGTAATGAAATATTAATTTGCTGATTCTGTATCTTATCACATGTTAAGATTTTTTTCCCCTTTTTGTTCTGAGTGTTCTAATGCTTACCTTTGATTTTCATAGCCATTAAGTAAATCCTTTCTAAAAAACAAAACCAGTCTGGTTCTCAAACATACACTGAAGAGCAGACATTTCTAATACAGTTTGGACAGCATAATATGACTTCAGATTGAACTCATTAAATAGAATCTGCTTGTTCTGACCTTGAAACAGAAGTTCCCAGGGTTGGGATGTTCAAGAATTGCAATGTTTCTGCACACTTTGGCTATGTACTGCATTTTAGGCAGAACCTAAAAGAGCCAAACCAAGAAGGTGCAATTCTGTTGGCACTCTCATGGTACCTGTTTTGGCTCTTGGAATCTTAAGCTTAATCACTCTATTTAAAAAAAATAACAAAATGTTTGATCTCATGTGTTAGGAGTTCTATAGATAGGAAAAGTAGCATAAGCACTTCTTGCAATCCTTACTTAGATTCACTCTATACTCAGTTCCCCATCTGCTTCTGTAAATTTCTTTTTTGTGTCTTTGTTTGAAACTATCTGTAATGCCAAGGATGGGATTCCTATTGTGAAATGTCTTGTGAGAACATGGACTTTCTTTAATAGGCTATTTTTCATTAGTTAATTATAAACTTGAAACATACATTAATAGATGTGTCCAATGTTTTAGGAGGAGTCTGGTGGATCAGATGACCACAATCCTGATAGATTTATAGGTCCTCTACCAAGAGAAGGTTCAGTTGGCTGTTCCAGTGATTACGTCAGTCAGAATTACTCTTATTCATCAATTCTGAGCAAATCGGAAACGGGTATGGAGATGTCTTTTGTCCTTTCCACTGGTTATAGCAATATTATACTATCTTAAAACAACTTACAAAACTGTCTTAAAAACAATTTAAGTATAGGAGAACAAGTTGTAAATCCCACTGTTCATGTAAGATTTTGAATGAGGGATAAGGGTTGCAGAATTGGTGGTATTATAGTTGCTGTCAAGAATATTGCAGATATGTAAGAAAAGGTGACAGAACAGGTACTGTAGTTGCTGTTGAGAATATTGCAGATGTGTAAGGAGAGGTGACAGAACCACAAGGGATGTGGTTTATTTTTTTCTCCTACAGATTTTTACAGGTAATCTTTGATTTAACGACCATTTAAAATTACAACAGGCTTTTAAAAAGTTAATAACAATTCACTCTAGTAGTTGCATCTGCCATTGCATCATCACCATCCCACAGTCACATGATTGCATTTTTGGTGCTTGACAACTAGCTTGCATTTACAACTGATTGCAGTGCTCCACAGTCATGTGACCATGATTTGCAACTTGCCAGTTTCCAGCAATTTTTGCTGATTGGATTTGCTTAACAACCTTGTGATTGCTTTACAATCATTGACTTTCACCTCTAAAAATCCAATCCTTGTTGTAACTGTTAGGGATTTTTTTATTATTAAACACGAAAATCCCCTCACTCTTTGTCATAGGTAAAGCTTTCATTTTGTTCCATTTAATGAAATGCAGGTGTTTATTTCTGGTAAGAACAATTGAGCACAAAATTATTTTTCAATATTTAAGTAATAGGGTAATAGTTCTTACTTAGAAGAAATCCATTTCATATTCCCCTATGCAGTTCACCTTTGTGAATCTAATAATTAGTTTTTAATAACTAATACTCTAAAAATGCAATCATACTAGAAATGAAATTTGCTAGTATCTAGTATTTTTTCTAACTTGTTTGCAGGGCAAATAAAGATAAATAATTAATTAGCATTGAAGTGATAGTCACACTGTGCTAAATTACAAGGTGTTTAATATGTTATTCTAACTCAGTGTTGTAGTTTTTCATAAGTCCTGTTTAAGTCATGTTTTTACTATTGGTATATGTTTCGGAATTCTGAAGAAACGTGTTTTTTGAATATCCAATTAAGCTTTAAAGTACTGTTGTTCTGAGTAGATAACTATTGGCAAAAATTTTGATTTTGGAAAATTGAAATAGAAATAATAATAAATATGCCCAATAATGTAATATTAATTCCTCTTAAATCTTAGTCTTATTCTTTTTTAAGATGAGCATTATTACTAATGTTATACTATTTTTTAGGATATGTGGGTCTAGTAAATCAGGCAATGACCTGTTATTTGAACAGTCTTCTACAAACTCTTTATATGACTCCTGAATTTAGAAATGCATTATATAGGTAAGTAGATGGATTTCATTAATTTTGTTATTGCCTTACTTGGGTTATGAAAGTCTTGCTAAACACCTGAGAGACTGCTGCAATTAACAAATTATTTCACCAATTTACATAGTCATTTGCAATCTATTCAGTGTTCTAACCTTGACTATTGTTGAGAATAGCTTCATAGATGTACTTCTGAATTTAATCAATCCTCTTTAAAGCAGAGTATGACATATCATCAGTAATTTTCAAGGCAAGGATTTCCTGGAACATACTTGTAAAACTATTTGATATGTCATTAGCTTTCGGACAGATGCAGTGATAAGGAGACTTCCTTTGCAGTCTTTTTTCCCCCTTAAGTTTAAACGTAGATTCATAGTAGAATTTAGAATTGCAGAGAAATATTAAAAATGGTTCATAACAATTATAAAAACTAAAATGTTGGTTGTTATAAAAGGATTTTAAAAGACGATCTATAGACCTATTGTAAATATTTCCCTATTTTATAGTACAATTAAAACTCGGGTTCTTACTTGTTATCCCCTATATGGTTGTGTAGTCATATTTTGGAACATAGTATGGAGATATGTCTATGGAGATTCTTGGTCTTCCAGGTCATGGCTGACCTAAAGGTGCTTTTTCAAAAGGCAACTAGACTTTGTTTTCCCAAAGTTGTCTTTTGAAAAAGCACCTTTGGGAATGTAGATAGTGTTAACTTTTGCAAGAATATATCTGTAAGAGTTCAGTATGATTTGATGAATGATGACATGTCATAGTATTTATACTAGAAAATGTTCTGATTATGGAGTACTTGAATATTTAAGCAGGGAGTTATCTCTTCTAAAAAGTTTCAATATCAGGCTGTAAAGATCATATATTTAGCCTTTTTTTTTTCAAACTGTATCTTGAAGAAATATTTCCATAACAACTTTCCTTTCGGATATCACTTTTTAATACAAATGAATGTTAGGAACATTTCATTTTCAATAGGGTGCACTAAAATAATTTATTTGTCTGTTGGTACTAATGTTTGTTTGTCTTTTTCAATAGATGGGAATTTGAAGACTCTGAAGAAGATCCAGTGACAAGCATCCCTTACCAACTTCAAAGATTGTTTGTTTTATTGCAGACCAGCAAAAAGAGAGCAATTGAAACTACAGATGTTACACGAAGCTTTGGATGGGATAGTAGTGAGGGTAATGATAACCAAATATTTGGTTAAATTATAATTATATTAGGACATATATTGACTGACATTGTCTGTGTCCTGATTATCAGTTATGTACTTGGTCAGGATATGCATGACTCCTACTTGGTTACATATTGAACAATCCCTTAGCATTCCTCTATAACTGAAAAAGAAAAAGCCACAGATATGACATGCTGTCATATCTCAAATATCTCTGATTAATAGCATTCAGAAACTAAGGATATCAGTAGCTTAAAATTCACTTTTGCATTTATACTTATTTACATAGCTGTTGAGAATTGACCAATTTAATAAAGTTTAATAACCTATTCTTATTACAAACCATAAATCAAAATTCTCAGTTCACAGTAACAAAATAACAAAAGTATAGGAAGACAATTTACAGTTTAATATTAGAAAAAATTACTTGATAGTAAGAACCGTCCAAGAATAGACCAATTTGTCTATCAAGATGGTGGACTTTTATTTTCTCCAAGCAGGTTGGAAGACATTCTTTGAAGATGACTTAATATGTTTTCCTCTATACTAAGCAGAACTGTTGGCCTAATTTATTGGTTCTATTGTTTAGTTTACTTAAAGTTCAGTATATCATGCCAAAGATGTTAAACTACAGTTATGAATCCCTGTATTTTTTTAAAAAAATAATGTTTGAAAATAATTGTGAGGTCAGGCAAAATGAGAAAGGTAAGAGAAATTTCAGTTCTAAAACTAGCAGTAAAATAAATTTAGTGTAATGTGATTTTGTAACTGGGCTAATGAATTGCTGTGATGGGATGTATGCCTGTATTAATTAAATAAGATCACTTTTGTTTTACAATAGCATGGCAGCAGCATGATGTGCAGGAACTCTGTAGAGTCATGTTTGATGCTTTGGAACAAAAATGGAAACAAACAGAGCAGGTATAATATTTTTGGGATTATTCTTGTGGTAATGAGATAACAAGAAATAACAAATAATTAGAATAAAACCATATTAATTAAACAGTACTATACTTATTCTAGATTTAAAGGCTAGTTTTAAACACTGGGATGAAATGGAAAATTTGTGCATTTGTTTACCCAGAACTGTTGAAATTTGAGGAATTCATTCTGTATGCATTTTATATGAAGTGTCATTATTTTACAATATAATACTCTGGGAGGCATCTTTAAGTGGATTGTAGTCAAGGGAAGGCAAGAGTTATGTGATCTTTCTGCAATCTTACTTCCTTTCTTCAAGTTGGAGTCTCCTGGTAAAATCCCCTTTATTCAGGAGCCATCCTAATTCTTTTGAGCTTATCTTTTTTTCGCCTCACAACCTCTGAAATTAAGTCTATCTTGTAAAAAATATATAAAAAGAACTTAGTTATTCCTTTTTGCTTGTTTTTGCCAAAAGCTGCAAAATACTTGCTGCTTCCAGACTTGTTTCTGTGAGTCTCATAATAACTTCTGTATATACATGCCTAAAGTAACCAGGGACGACCCCCATCCCTATATATATTGATTGTTACACTACCATCAGTTTTCAGAAAGAGCAGTCTAATGTGAAAGCAAACATTGTTTCTGAAGGAAACAATTGATAACATTACTCAAATTGAGCACTAATAGGCAGTTGTGATATTGCTCACAGAAAACTGGTGGTCTAGGCCAGTGATGGCTAACATTTTCTGGACCAAGTGCCCAAAGCGCATGCGTGTGCGCACGAACCCCCAAAATGCAATGCACAAGTGGTCTCCCGCATGTGCCCCGCCCCCTGCACATGCATGTGCAGCCCCTGGATGCACAGCAGAGACCTGAAAACCAGCTGGCCAGCGGAAGGCGCGTCTGCATGCGTGGTGAAGCTGAGCTGTGGCGACAGCTTGTGTGCCCATAGGGCACTGCGTGCCACCTTTGGCACGCATGCCATAGGTTCGCCATCACTAGTCTAGGCTATTCAGCACTGTCTCCATCATGTTGTGCTTCAAATTTCCATTTAACATATTTACACTTCTACAGATGCAAAATAGTGCCATAGCTGTTGTCCAAAGGAGATCTTGCAATATCTCCTGCAATATCTTCTACCTCGTCTTAATCATAAGATGGACCCCTTGCACAAAAACGTCTGCTCTTTATTTAAAGAGTCTACAGTCAGTAGACTAATATTTGGCAACTATACAGAGGTTTCTTTAAAAGCTGTTACTTGTGAGTCCTTTATATTCATGCAATCTGTATATGGGTAGTCCTTGACTTACAACCATTTGTGTAGCTATCATTCAAAGTTACAACAGTACTAAAAAAAGTGACTGGAGACGGACCTAGATTCCTGGTGGCAATTCAGCATTGAATCTGTATCACATGACTCCTGTTTTTCCCTTTCACATTCTTGTATATATTCATTATACCAATCTTTACTAATTTTCCACTGTTTCTTGTCCAGTTCAAGAATGTACCAAATAACATTTTGAAATGTATATATTTAGTTAAATATATCTGCATATATTTCATGAAAAAGAACATTAAAATCATTTTATATATGAATATGGCTGTTAAAAAAGAGTTAAATGTAAAAACAATATGCTTTTATAAATATTTATGAAATTGATATGGGCTTTCAGTAGAATTAGGCATATATTTTTAATTGGAATAAAAATAAGCAGAATTCTCATTAAACATGATTTAAGACAAATTGGATAAATAAATACTTGCCATGAATTTATGTTCAATTCTATTTTCACTTTAAAAAGTAACTGAAAATAGGCTGAGATAATGAATAGCCAGAGAAACAGCAATGAATTTTAAATACCGTATTTTCCGGCGTATAAGACGACTGGGCGTATAAGACGACCCCCAACTTTTCCTGTTAAAATATAGGGTTTGGGCTATACTCGCCATATAAGACTGCCCCTCTTCCAATGCACACCAAATAAAAATTAAAAAACATCAACTGGCTCACCTACAATGTAAAAGCAGCTGTGCTAGACCCAAAATGGCCCCTGTAACAAGCAGGAACCTCACACAGCCACAAAAAGCCCCCCCAAAAAACTTTCACACTCTAAACACACACAACACAACACAACTGGCTCACCCACAATGTAAAAGCATCTGTGCTAGACCCAAAATGGCCCCTGCAACAAGCAGGAACCTCACACAGCCACAAAAAGTCCAAAAAACCAACTTTCACACTTTACACACACCAGCTTTGTGAGATTTTGTGTGTTTGTGTAGTTGGAGTGAAACACTACAGAAACATACTAAATCTCAGAAAGCTGCACAAATATTATTTTATTTTATTTTTATTTTTATATGAAAGCTAAATTTAAAACTTCCTAAACTTTAAATGGCTAGGTCTAAAAAAGAACAACTAAAAAAACCCCAATTGACTATTTTTTTTAAAGCTCCCAAAGGGGAAAAAAACTTACCCAATAGAACAGGGGTCTCCAACCTTGGCAACTTTAAGACTTGTAGACTTCAACTCCCAGAATTCCTCAGCCAGCTTTGCTTTGCTGGCTGAGGAATTCTGGGAGTTGAAGTCCACAACTCCCTCCTTGCTTGATTGCAGGCAGGGAGTTGCTTGCTTGCCTGAATAGATTCAGGCAAGCAAAGCAAGGCAAGTGTTGCGACTAGCAGCTGAGGTAAGCAAGCTGGAGGGGGAAAACTTTTTCCCTTTTACATGGCTCTGGCCATCCCAGCTGAGTTGCAGGGAACTCAGCTGGGATCGTCAGAGCTGGGATCCTCAGAGTAAAAGGGAAAAAACTTCTTTCCTTTTACGTGGTTTCTGGCGATCCCAGCTGAGTTGCAGGGAACTCAGCTGGGATCGTCAGAGCTGGGATCCTCAGAGTAAAAGGAAAAAACTTTCTTCCTTTTACGTGGTTTCTGGCGATCCCAGCTGAGTTGCAGGGAACTCAGCTGGGATCGTCAGAGCTGGGATCGCCAGAGCCATTTAAGGCTCATCAGAGCCTTTCGGGCTGGTCTGCCTGGTTACAGGAGAACGACACCCGGCGTATAAGACGACCCCCGACTTTTGAGAAGATTTTCATGTGTTAAAAAGTCGTCTTATACGCCGGAAAATACGGTATATTCTATAGTTCTTTTTAGTTTAAAGAATGCTATTAATAAGTTTAAGGATTAATGGCAAAATTTAGAATACATATCCTGAACTACTATTATAAAATATTCTTTTGCAATTTAGAATATGTAAGCCATCTAGATTTAAATTCTTCAGGAAATAATGCTTCATAAAGGTAAACAAATTTGTTTTTGGAATATTGAAAAATTTTTCCCCTTCAAATGCAGGCTGATCTCATAAATCAGCTCTACCAAGGCAAGCTGAAGGACTATGTAAGATGCCTGGAATGTGGCTATGAGAGCTGGAGAATTGATACTTACCTGGATATTCCATTGGTTATTCGACCTTATGGCGCCAATCAGGCCTTTGCTAGCGTGGTGTGTATGTTAAACTGAATACTACTGCGTCTTTCTATGTAATAATGCCACAGTACTGTCACTTCTTTAAAGGTAAGCATCATCCTGGAAACTCCATCTTGGGTTGTCCGTCTTTGTGCAGTAGACCAGCTAGCAAGCTTTAGAAGACCCTTCAATAAGTCCTACTAGTGCATGTTTGAGAAAAGGAAAAGCAGTCAATTAACATGTGAAATTTTAACATTGCAAATGTAATAAAACAACACATGTTCTGCCTTTCTTGTAGAAAACTATACTTTTGAAACATAATATGGGCTTTAGGTGAATTAATTATTCTGAAACTGTTGGTAAATATTACAGCAAATAGGAAAGGAATTCTTATTTGCTCTAATATTTACCAATAGTTTCAAAATAATTAATTCCAATAATGAAATGGAATTAATAATTAATTCCAATTCCCAAATAGGAAAGGAATTCCTATTTGGAATTCCAGATAGCCTTTTGGTTGGACTGGGGAAGGAGAACTTTAAATTGACAGTATTAAGACGCCTCTGGAATATTCCTTAAAATCCCAATAAACTATTGAACATGCAGTTTGAGACCAACTTCTGTGGTACTTGTACCTCTCTGACTGGAGCCACATTGCCAAATCGGTAATTGAGCACTATCTAGTTCCCTCCAACCTCTCATACTAGCCATCTTGCTTTATTTAGGATGCTTAGAGTGGGATAACCAGTGATTATCTGTTTATAAGGGAGACTCTGATTACATTGACTAAGTGAGGCAGGAAGGATTACTCCGAATTGAAAATAGATATGCTGATCATTCCAGATTTCCTAACTACCTTCCCATCATGGCACTGTGCAAGCAACAAAGGGTGGATTTAAAAAAAAAGTCATGAATCAACCCTGATTCCTGTCGAAAACATGGGCAGATTCATACAGTTTTCTGTCAATATTTTCAGAACTTTGCCATTCTAAGATAGCTGGCATGCTTCCCTATCTGCCTTTCTGAATTGTAATTGTTTTTATGATATTCCTAAATTAATGCTTTTTGCAGTGTATAACTTAAAATTTATTTGATTTTTTTTTACCCATAGAGTTTGTATGGTTCAGGTTTCAAAACAAGGTTTTATAGGCAACTTTAAAAACAAAGGGATTATTATTTAAAATGATTACATTGATTTAAGTGATGTAGCCTATTGAACAAATAAACCCAGAATTTCTTTGGTTGTCTGGTCTTCCAGTTGCATTTAAAAAACAAACCCAAGAATGTATATTTTATAATCTCAGTTAAGATACAAGATAGATATATACAGATATAGATGCCTAAACCTAATACTAGGTTTATGTTGCCCAGATTTTTTCTCCAAGAATTTCAATCCAAGCAAATGCTAACTTCTTGCCAAATTAGGCTTCTGCTCCTAGCCCACTTTTGCTCATCTTGAACATTTAGACAGAGTTAGGTATTTTAAAATAAAGTTACTGTTTTAAAGAGATTGTTAGGCCTAGCCAAAAAATGATGTAAAACAATCCAGCCAAAGTTCAGTTCTTTATTTGCACATACCATTTAGACTGAATCTTGCCAGGCTAAACCTAAACTACTCTACCCTAATGGATATGCCCAGGAAGATTCACATAGGCACATTCCATGCCAGACCATCAAGAGATAGCAAACTGGTAAGCTAGACAAGAAGTTGAAAAAATATCCTTGAAGAAGACAAAGGCAATCATTTCTGTACTGTTGCCAAGGAAATGACACTGACATAATAACACCAGAAGCCAAGGTCACCTTGAAATAATCTTTACTAGCTAATCAGTTCCTAGATAGCCAGTGGAGTGTGATAATCTTTCTGATTTTAAATGAACAGTTTTTAGAAATCTTTATGCTTTGTTAAGTTTGATATGCTATGCAACTTAGCAGAATTGCAGATAGTACATTTTTATGTATATAACATCACTATAAAATGTTTCTCATAAATAGAATATTTAGGATCTTCATATTCTGATTCGTTTCTTGTTTTTAAATGGAGAATACTCTTGGATAATGGAAGCTAGTTGGATAAAATGCTGTGTCTGTGTTGTCTTTCTATTGGTAAAATATTAAGGGATGGACCTTGACAAAGAAGCAGTTTTGTATATAAATAACATACGATTCTCTCCCCCCACCTTCCCATATATTCTAACTAAGGAAAAATTGCCTGATATCAAATAACTTTCAGATAGTCATCGACTTATGACCTTTTGAAGTTTTTGTGGTGCTGAATGAAAGACCTTAAAATAGGTCCCTGAAGTTTTGGCCACTGCAGCACCTCTGCATAAATCAAAATTTGGGCGCTTGGCAGTTACAGTCATAGGAGCCATCTATTTTCTTCCCACCTTTTTGTTCCTTATAGTCCGCAGCCCCTGCTGCCCTAGCCAGCCTTCACCAACTTCTTGCTGTCTCTGCTGACCAAGCGTATCTAACTTGGTACTTTATAAGGAACTGCTAGCTGCACATGGTTGCGCAGGGCCGTTTCCTCATGAGACCTGGGAAGATAGCCTCAAGTGGTCAACAGTTGCCTCACCAAAGGCCTTGTCAGAATCGGGAGCAAGAAGATGGCTAAGATCAACTGGGGCTTTTCTACTTGCTACCCACAAGACAAGGAGTAAGGTAGCCAAAGGAACAGAGATGGGGGAGATAGGCAGGTGGCAGGATTTGAAAAGGAGGCACTTACCAAGACTCAGGACTTGGAGGAACCAAGCCCAGAATAGCTTGGATTGGGGTGGCTACTCACTTAATGACCTACAATTCTCAGTTAACAATGGCAGCCAGAAGTAGTGGGATTTCCGTTACTAAGCAGTATGATCACATGACATCTCACTTTATGACAGCATTGCTTAGCGACAGAAATTCCACTCCCAATTGTGGTTATAAGTTGAGGAGTATCTGTATTATTCCTGTTTAGTTCAGACAGTATTGTCTGTTTTCCTTACGATTATCCAAACATGAGACTCAATATTATGTGCTGTCTTACTTACTGTGTTAATAATCTATTCATCTGAAATACTAGATTTTTCCTACATTAGATTGCAAAACTGATCCTCTATTTAGAAAAGTATTGTAGTTGTAGTTTTCAGAATTTTGGAACTATGGAGGATACTTTCTTTTGGAGAAAAGAAAAGTTGCCTGTTTCTAAATGGCATTCTCTGAAGGTAGTATCCTCCATTGATCCTCCATTAAAAAGGATAAATAAGAATTTGACTCAGAACAAAATAATCATAATGGGATCAACGCATGCGCTAATAGGGCTTGTAGAAGGGAATGTAAAGGTCTTTTGATCTTGCTAGTGTGTTTCTGAGGGGACTTGCCACAGACGACACTATCCAAAATAGAGGATCTGTGGAGGATATTACCTTGAAAGAATTCTAGTTAGAGGTAAGTGATTTTCTATTTTTTTTAAATATAATGAATGTTACTAATCTTTGTTGCCCCTTCCCAAAATCAATCTATGAAGCGGTATATAAGTCTAAGTGCTATTGCTTTTGCTATTTTTGCCTTGAATACCTTAGCTACAGAAGAAATACAGTAGATCTTTTCTATTTAAAAATAGTAGTTCTGCTGCATTAAATATTCTTACCTACATATTTAATTTGAATATTTTATCATTGAACTTGAAAAAATAATCTTCCAGATGTTTATAAATTTAATTTGCTCTAGCTTGCTTTAATCTTGGATCTACATGTAATCTTAAATGTAGAATTGAAATAGATCTATTTGTCATTTTCATTTTCATTTTTTTTGCTTTAATTTATATGCCGCCCTTCTCCAGAGACTCAGGGCAGCTTACAATGCGTTAAGCAATTTAAATGTCATCTTAGAAAAGATCATTCCCTTTATTTAATATTTAATAATATTTAATTATTCTGATCAATAGGAGTTTGAAGTGCCCTTTTTAGACCAGTAGAAGCCATAAAAAAGTGAGATTCATAGAAAAGTATAATTTAGGAGAGTAAAAAAGTATTTTAATTATATTGATATTCAGATTAAACCAAAGTACAACCAAGGTATATCATCACTGTAGTGCTTCTTGTTTTCATGTTACATAAAATAATCAGCCCAAATAGTTACATACACAAATAAGAATTAATCGGCTTCAGAATAGGCAACAGGAGTTATTGATCTATGATACAATAAGTTTAGCCATGTGTACAGATTTAATCTGACAGGTACTAAACAATCTAATCGCTTGCCTAAACATTTACCTAGAACAAAGGTTACAAACAATTTTCCAGTTTTGGAAATATATTTGTGTAAATATTTTTAAATGTTATAGTCCTCAACTTATGACCACAATTGACACCTGAACTTCTTTCACTAAGAAGTTGTTAAAACAAAGTTGTTAAAACAATTGTGCTCAATTTTACAACTTTTTTTGCTATGGTTTTTAAGAGAATTACATGATTGTTAAGTAATTCTGGCTTCCCCCATTGACTTTGCTTGTTGGAACCCCTCTGTGACAATCACAAATGGTGATCATGTGACTTTGGGAACCTGCAACTGTCATGAATATATGGCAGTTGCCAAGCATTTGAATTTTGATCACATGATTGCAAGGCTGTGGTGATTGAAAGTGGAAGAATTAGTCGTAACTCGCTTTCTCCAGCACCATCATAATTTTGAACAGTCTGGTCCTAAGTCAAGAACTATTTGTAATTGCCCTAAGAACACATTGTTAAGCATATTTAGATCTAGTCTAAAAAGAGACCTACTAGATTTTCGAAGTGCCATTTTGAATATCATAGAAAAACTAAGATGACATTATAAATAGCCAGAAGTAGTAAATCTTACATAACGAGACAAGATTTATAACAACGTTAAGCCAAAATTTCTAAATTCAAACAAATTTAGTTTGTTGAACACATGATGATTGCTTTCTACATAATGTTTGCTTTATACTTTAACAGTATAGGAATGTTTCAGAAAGACCTGTCCTGAAAGTTTTAAAACCTTCCAAAGTCACTTTACTTTTCTCTCATCCCATCTACATGCATGAGGGAATGGGGGTGGGGGTGGAAAGAGAGAGAAAAAGTTTTTGAGTATAAAGGAAGGCAGAGGAAAGATCAGATAATTGACATTAATCAAATAAGGCATAAGTCCAGGCAAAGACTGTGGAGATAAAAGGGAGGAAGAGAAGCATGTTCAAACTTATAAGGTTCTCTAACTACAGTATAGCTGTCCTAAGAGATTTAGGTCTACATGATATCTGTTTCTTAGTCTGCTCTGGGGCTGACACACACTGACTTTTCAGAGAATTCAGAAGCTGTAACAATTAAAAAAAAAGAAGTCCGTGTCTCTTATCACAACAATTTGTGCATTGACTTTTGCATTGACATGTTACATTACAGTAGCTTGTGTAATTTTATTATAAGACAATAAATACTGTGTTAATGTTACATTTTGCTCTTGTAATTAAATCATTATCGGTGTTAGTTGAATACTGTTTCCCATTAAGTTGTTGGGGGGGAGTCTTCCTTACCTTTATGTCTGCCACTAACTCCACTGATTTTTCAATGGGACTAATTTCAATTAATATGATCTGCAGATGAGAGCAATACAGCAATTTGGATCTGATTGGTTGCACTTGATTTGAGGAAGTAAATACTTGGTCCTGACTGTATATTTATAGAGATAATTTCATGGACTATTAAGAATATAAAACTAAAAGAATTAAAGAAACTACACATTTTATAATTATAAAATTACAAAGCTGCTAGAAATTAAAAAAAATACCAGAATGAAAAATAAGATTATTAAGAACTATGTAAATATGTTTTTTTAAAGGTGATCTGTAAAAAGATTAAAATACTTGGTTTAATTTTCTCCTTGGTAAGCAATAAAGCCATTAAATAACGCATTACCATTCATGGATTTTTATCTAATTTTAGAAGATCTTTAGGCGCATCACTTCTTTTTTTTGTGTGTCTATATAGCACAGTATGGTTCCTTGTTGACTTGCACATCACACAGAGCTTACATAAATTTCACATGCCTATTTTTTCAGTCATTCACATACCATTTACTTCTTAATTAAAGAGGTATAGTTTTGTTTATCTCAATATTTCTAGAAAAAAAATAAACATTATGGTATGCACAACTAAAGAATTGTAATTAGTACATTTTCCCTAAAAATATTTAAGCCATAGTTACAATCAAAATTTCTGAAGTATGTGTAAGAAATGTGCATATTGGCTTTAGATTTTAATATGTATAATGTGGGGTCAAACTTCAAATTGGCATGCACTTTAGAATTTTCAGTAGCAATTCCTTTTGATAAAAAACAATGTTTTGCAAAAAGTGTTTTTTTTTCCATACCATGGTTTTTAGATAAAGTATGCGTTTTCTAGATTTTTTGCTTTGTTTTGTTTTAAAGAGCAATCATAGAAAATTATAGCAGCATCTTACTTTTTACTTCAGCCTCATGACCACCATCCCACCTCTGCTCTGCTATTGGAGTTAGGAGCTTTTTTAAAAAGTGTCTTCTGTTTCAGCAGTGACAGAATTCTTACCCATGTGAAAAAGCTAGGGCTGTAAATGTTTTGTTTTGTTTGTTCTTAGTGCTTCTCTGAGCTCTCAGAAATGGAGGGAGAAGGGGTGAATTGGAGGCTTTTTGAAGACCTTCCCCTATCCTTGATCTCCTCCCAAAGTGGGATCCATCAAACAACATGCTTTAGATAGTAGTCTTATAAGCTGTGCACCAGTCATTTTGCAATTGGTGAGTCTTCTGCCCAACTAAGCCCCCTTTTATTTATTTAGACTCCAGGGAACAACTGTTGATGAGAGAAATTGAGTCACAGGATTTTATTTTATTTTTTATTTTATTTTATTTTTAATGATAACATTTGCCTTGAAATTTACACAGTGATAGCAGGCTAATGTGTCTGTTTTAATCTTTGTGGGCAAAGGTTCTTATGTAGGTTGTGAACCTGGTTTCCTCTCAACTTTCTCATTTATCTGATTCAGTGTCTTAATAGTTTTGAATTGAATTTAGAACAACACTAAATTTTCTTCACCATATTAATTAGTATCTTTTGATATAACATTATTAAAAAGATTTGTTATGAAAAAATGGGTTATTGCATTGAAATCTAGATGGACATTTGGTTAAGTGTTTTTTACAAAGTATTCAAAATATTCCAGTCACATTTAAGCTTTGCAAGATAATAAATTACATATTTAAAGGATTTTTCAAATATTTTAATATCCTTTAGCATCCATTTTTCAGATTTTTTTACTGATAAAATGATAGAAAAATAATACAAAAATGCTTTAAAAAAAGCCATGAATTAAAATATTCCAAACATATATTTTATAAACCTGATAAGGATAAGCAGTATTGACCTAATGCTAAAAGGAATACTTCAGTGTAAAAAGGTAAGCTTTTCTATAGAGAAACTTCGGGAAATAAGATATCGCTTTCTCGGTCCTTCTCTTTCTGTCTCTCTCTCTCTCTCTCTCTCTCTCTCACACACACACACACACACACACACACACACACACACACAAATATACAAATGCATAATCCTTGGTGTTCCCTGAGCATTGCTAGAATGGAGTGAGGTTTGGTATCTATTTATATACCCTTGATTTCTCAATGTTGGTGAAGATGTTATTTTCTCCTTAGTAGTTCCTTGATTAGACTGTTGTTTACTGCTTGTTACTGGTGTTAATTCCTGTTTATCTGGGGTTTGATTGCTGGCAAGGAGGTGTTATGATCTTTTTGTTTCCTTTTTAGCTTTTGCCTTCCTTGAATGGTATGCAGAACTTGTTTATCTTGTTTATCTCTATGTGCTTACTCATGACTGATTTGTCTGAATGCCAGGCTTCCCCGAATTCCCTAGAGTTTTTGGATTTAACTTTGTCTAGGATGCTCAACTGCAACTTTGCTTAAATTGGCCATGTGTTGTGTCATTAAGGAGATTTCATCATGATGTCTGATTGCTAGTTGATGTTCCTGGATGCACTCTGCTAGTCTTCTACCTGTCTGTCCGACTTAGTGGCTCTCTCTTGATTTACTTAAGATGTTTTGGAGGGCTTTAGTTGGCTTGCATGTTATGATGCCATGTGGTTGTAAATAGTCTGTTGGTGGTTTCTGAGTTGTTTTTGATGTTTGGCAATGTTATCCTTTTTATAGCTTGTATTGGCTGTGTTGTAGTGGTTGGAGTGTGGTCACACTCTACCTGATAAAGTTTCATGGCTAGCCATGGAAGATGTTGTATAGGCACTCTTTTTCCTTTTCTAGTGTTCTAGTTTGCTCCAGTGCACTTGTGCTTGTCCCACAGCTCCTCTTGTGGAAGGTTGGTTTGTTACTTTGGTATTTGAGCACTTGGTTAGTGTACATTATTTTTTTTGATAGACTTCTGTTTCTAATTTGCCATTATTTTCTCTGCTGATGAGGATATCCAAGAAAAGTAGTTATTGTTTTCTTCTTTCCCTTTTTTGAAGATGCTGTTGATTGTTTCATGTGTCCCTTTGTGAAAAGATGCAATCTACATACTGGATTCATAATTTGTTGGAAATGCTATAGTTTCTAGATGTTTAGTTGTATTTAATGAAACTTGTACAGAGAAATACATTCAGCACTTAAGTTTTCAGGTTAATGTGGAAATATTCTCTAGAATAGATAGAATTTTAATAATTAAAAATATACTGTATATTTGGTAAAGAACTTGTTCCCATTAAAATAAAACCAGCTTTAAATCAAATGGCTGAGGATATGGAACTGATGGATGGATGACTGCCTATGCCACTGCGATTTAATGTGATGTGCAAGATAACAGATTTTGCTTTTGATCGTTTACATTACAATATCTAAACATAGGAACCATAAATTATTTAATAAATAATGTTTTACGGATCATGATTTGGCTGCTTACTGAAGGGAAAATATAAAAGAACTTATCACTTGTTAGATACTTTTCTTCACTGGCTTGTGTTATAAAATTCAAGAATCTTTGATGTCTAGTTATTAAATATTGCACAATGTGTAAAGCTGTTTTTTTTTAAATTTCTGATTAGGAGGAAGCTCTACATGCTTTTATTCAGCCTGAGATCCTTGATGGTGCCAATCAGTATTTCTGTGAACGATGCAAGAAGAAATGTGATGCAAGAAAGGTAAACACGTTTTAATCTAAATAATAAGGTGGGTGTATTAATATATATGAAATGCAATTAATCATTGACAGTTTGTTTCCTTTTGTATCTTACAGGGATTGCGATTCTTGCATTTTCCTTATTTGCTGACCTTGCAGTTAAAAAGATTTGATTTTGATTATACCACTATGCATAGGATAAAACTTAACGACCGTATGACATTTCCTGAAGAGCTAGATATGGGCTCATTCATTGATATTGAAGATGAGGTAATAATCAGTATTTACTTGGATTATGTTTTAAGAAATACCTTAATTGACTCTGAATTACAAACTTATTTCATATCAGATTAATTTGAAATTTATTCACAATATCAGGATCAACTGTTGTGTATTGTCTTTTCCTTCCCCTTTCAAACTTAAATGTAAACTTAAACTTAAACTTAAATGTAAAACCTAGACTTTCTTTGTGACTGCTACACATACATACAGACACACATGCAGTAGTGCAAGGTACCAAGCAATAAGGAGAAGATGCAGGCCTTTATTTCCTGAAGTGCCTCCTTGCTGTCTATTTGTAAAATGTGCTCATCTCTAAGTATTAGTGTATAGTAAGAGAGAACATATGGATCCATTCATTGTTTAACTAAAATAAGTCCGTAGCATACTTTTACAAAGGAATTCATTGTACACAGATATGCACTGTTGACTCCACTTTACAATTTCAATTATTTTGTAAGACAATTATTTTGTCTTACAATTTTGTCTTTAGATAATTACTTTGTACAAATCCTTATTGTTTATAAACTAATCCTTATAACTTGTTTTAAGAAGTCTCCTCAAACAGAGAGCTGCACTGATAGTGGAGCAGAGAATGAAGGCAGTTGTCACAGTGATCAGATGAGTAATGACTTTTCTAATGACGATGGCATTGATGAAGGAATATGTCTTGAAAACAATAGTGCTGCTGAAAGAATTTCAAAAGTTGTCAATGAAAAGGTACCTTATATAATTTTATGCTATTTCAATATGCCTTTTAAAGGTAAAATTATTACATAGTTACATTGTTAGAATTATTACTAAGTATTGTACACAGTAACACAAAATATTGTTTGTCTTACCAAAACTTGTCAGTAAATTGATAGTACAGTGTTAACTGATTTTTCAATTAACTGCAAAATAACCTGAGGGGAGACCATTAAAGCTTAAAAAAAACACCCATGGCCACATACAGGTAATCCTTGATTTAAAACAATTCATTTAGTGATCATTCAAAGTTACAAAGGCACTGAAAAAAGTTACTTATGATCATTTTTCACACTTACAACTCTTGCAGCATCCCCATGGTCACATGATCAAAATTCCGATGCTTGGCAACTGGTTCGTATTTATGACAGTTGCAGTGTCCCTGGTCATATGATTACCTTTTGCAGTCTTCTGACAACCAAAGTCAATGGGGAAGCCAAATTCATTTAACAACCACGTTACTAACTTAACAAATGCAATTATTCACTTAACTGTGACAAGAAAAATCGTAAAATGGGGCAAACTCACTTAACAAATGTTTCACTTAGCAACGTAAATTTTGGACTCAGTTGTGGTTGTGATTCAAGGTCTACCTGTAATAGAGATAGCCTTATGTCAATTGTCTGTCTGCCCGTCTGTCTTACAGACAACTATCTATCTTAAAAGAGACATTTTACCAATACCATAATGAGAACATGAATTACATGATTTTAGAACAATGAATGTCAGTAGCTGATTTCATCTGTAAGAAAATTGTCTAAAATAGCAGCAGTTATTTTGCCTAATTGCAGGTAAAGGAAAATAGCAGGTAAAGGAAATGCTCTCGGATCGGACTGGATCGCCCGGTCTGGTAGCGATCTTGGCCGATGGTTCAGCGATCTGGTAGCGATGGCAGAGCAAAGCTCCGCCCACCCATGCGGTTGTCATTACTTCCTGGTTTTAACCAGGAAGTAATGTGTTTTTTACCTTTGCGCATGCGCAGAAGGTTTTGCACATGCGCAGAAGGTCTGCGCCTGCATGTGCCATGCGCGCGCGCTTCCAAACCAGTAAGGAAGGTAAGTAGATTTCACCCCTGGAAATAGTATTAGCTAACAATTCCCAGCGAGGGAAGAAACAAAAGTGTAATATAAAATGTTGGTTTTCATAGCCATATCCAACTTGCTGAAATACATTCTGGGGCCAATTGCTATTGCTGAAAGTACCATAGCAAGATGCTGCTTAAAATACCAAAGAGATGGTAAAAAATAAAAATGAACAGATATTATTAAAAGTAATAATATAAGTAATAAATGAGCAGGATATATTAGAATTAGAGTGATTTGGGGGGATAATTTAATATTTATAAAATTTGTTACTACTTAAATATTCTTATAAATGTTCAGATTTGTTTTGTTTGCTTTAGTTTGTTTCTTGTCAGGGGAGCTAGTTATTTCACAAAATGTGACTGCAATAAATATGCTCTGATATAAATAGGATAAGAAACAAGAGGTCCTTTTAAATGTTAGTATTAACATTTGAGGGTTTAAGTACAAATCAAAGGGCATGAGATATGAATAGTATGAAAAATAAATTACTTAGTAAGAATTTTAAAAATTAAATAAATGTTACAAATATTTTCTGACCAATCTGTATTTGCTATTTTCTCTATTGTACAGAATTCATTACTATATGAATTATTTTCTGTTATGGTTCATTCGGGAAGTGCAGCTGGCGGTCACTATTATGCATGCATAAAATCCTTTAGTGATGATCAGTGGTACAGTTTCAATGATCAGCATGTTAGCAAGGTAAGTTATTATAGTGATCTCAACAAGGATGTCTATAATGAAACAAAACAGCATATAGATTTAAATTTAAGCTGCATGCAGATTTAAAAAGTGGCATCAGCTTGTCCAAAGTAGGCTAGGTCAGGAAACAGATTTTAAATGATTAGAGTTGGAAGGGACCTTATAGGTCATCTAGTCCAACCTCCCACTCAAGCAGGAGGCCCTACACCATTTCTAACAAATGGCAGGCCAATCTTTTATTGAAAGTCTCAAGTGATGAAGCTTCCACAACTTCCGAAGGCAAGCTGTTCCATTGGTTGATTGTTCTCACTGTCAGAAAGTTTCTCTTCATTTCTAGGTTGAATCTCTCCTTGGTCAGTTTCCATCCATTATTCCTTGTCTAGCCTTCAGGTGCTTTGGAAAACAGCTTGACCCTTTCCTCTCTGTGGCAGCCCCTCAAATATTGGAAGATGGCTATCATGTCTCCCCTGGTCCTTCTCTTCACTAGACTAGCCATGCCCAGTTCCTGCATCCTTCGTATGTTTTAGCCTCCAGTCCCCTAATCATACTGGTTGCTCTCTTCTGCACTTTTTCTAGAGTCTCAACATCTTTTTTATAGTGTGGTGACCAAAACTGGATGCAGTACTCTAGGTGTGGTCTTTATTGAGTGATATTAGTACCTCCCTTGATCTTGATTGCATCCCTCTGTTAATGCAATTTAGGATTGCATTGGCTTTTTTGGCTGCCGCTGCACACTGCTGGCTCATATTTAGCTGGTTGTCCACTAAGACTCCAAGATCCCTCTCACAGTCACTGCCATTAAGCCTGGTTTCCCCCAGTTTATATTTGTGCTTTTAGTTTTTCTTACCTAAGTGTAGGACTTTACTTTTCTCTACATTGAATTTCATTTTGTGAGATAGGGCCCAGTATTCAAGTCTATCAAGATCCATCTGGATCTTGAGCCTATCTTCTAGGGTGTTAGCTATTCCTGCCAGCTTAGTATCATCTGCAAATTTGGTGAGTTCACCTTCTATTCCCTCATCTAAGTCGTTTATGAAAATATTGAAGAATACTGGGCCTAAGACAGAACCTTGTGGCACCCCACTGCTTACTTCTTTTTATGTAGACTTAGATCCATTAAGGACTACTTGCTGAGTACGGTTTGTTAGCGAGTTGCAAATCCATCTGGTGGTGATGCTATCTATCCTACTTTTTTCTAGCTTACGAAGAAGTAAGTTGTGGTCTCCTTTGTCGAATGCCTTGCTGAAGTCTAACTATATTATGTCCACAGTATTTCGCTGTATTTCTTGACAATGTCTGAAACTTGGCTTTTATTGAGATAGGCTCTAATAACAGAATCTTGAAAGCCTAACTAGATGTTCCTTTTCCTCCCTCTTATACTCCAGGGAGTTTAAAGTTTGTATTTCTTCCTAATGTTTTCTTTATTTGCGGGTGGTAAAGACATATTTTTGTAACAGTCACTGCATGGTTTTTCCAGGCTCATCTCTGTGGCTTTAACATGGTTAAAGGAAATTCAAGATTACGCAAGCTAAGGAAATCATTAGGAAGGGAGAGAAAGATTAGCAGGCAGATTGAGAACAAAATATGTTAATTATCTGCTGAAGCAAAGGAAGGGGGAAATGGAATATATTCTTCAGAGAGGAAACTTCTGCTGATTGGTATATATTATAATGGTTGCGCATATTAGTTTTGCTTATTTTATATAAGGCTTCCACTTTGTCCTTACCTGCATAATACATTGCTGATTGTATCTACAGTATTTTTTGGAGTATAAGACGCATCTTTTTACCCCCCAAAAGGGGGTGAAAATTTAGGTGCATCTTATACACCGAAGTAGCCCTGCCCACCCACTGGCCCCCACCCTTTGGCCTGTGCCTCGCATCAGTTACCTCCTTGCAAACAAACAGCAAGAAAAAATAGCCCCTTTCAGCTTCAGCATAGGTTAAATAGCACAAGTTGATTAGATTGGCCTCCCAACTCTCAGTTGATTTGCTCTCAGCTGTTATGCGCAGGGCTCTGCTGCTAGCTGCAAAGAGTGCTGGAGCAGATTTTTTTTTTCTGCTAGCTATGCTGAAAAAACGAAACTGAAAGTAAAGCAGGCTCTTTGCTGCAACGTAACAAAATGAGGCAGGGAGAGATTTATTTTTCTTTTTGCTCACCAAAAAAGGAAGGTGCAAACAATGGGAAATTTAGGGCAAAAGAGGAGAGTTCAAGATTTTAAAACACAAAAGAAAAAAAGCTCTATTTAACTAGGGAATTGTAATAATTGAGATACTATTAATTGTATATTGTGTTGAAAACAGAAATAGTTAAGTTGTGGTTTGGAGGAATATATGGGGGAAATTATTTGGTTTATTATTATTGGTAAATATAATTAATTGATTTGTAAGAAATTGGATTGCATGGAAATAATTGGAATATTCATGTTCATATTGATTAATATACAAAAAAGATAGTTATAACTGATTTATATAAAAATGTTGAATTTGTATTAAACAATTGTAATATTAAATAATTAATCAATGTGAGGATGGATATAAAAATAGATGACAATGGGAAGGGGTATAATATAGAATAGAAGGGAAAAATTGAATTTGATTAAGATTAGAGCTGAGAATGAAGGGTAATATTGGTTTTTTTAAAAAAAAATAGATGAGGAATAAATATGGCAAAAAGGAAATATAGAAATTATAAATTTAATTGAAATGATTAAACACTGTTTAAATTTGTGAACCAGCCAAATACTCTGTTCAAAGAAAATACATTGTATATTTGTATGTGTGTTTGTCTAAAAAATTAAAAAAAACTTAAAAAAAAAACAACCAAAAAAGGTAGGTGCGTCTTATACTCCGTTGCGTCTTATACTATGAAAAATACGGTAATAACTAAACATATTTTTAAAGGACTCCATATTACTCTTCTATCACTCAGGAGATGGAAGAAAATGGCACTGTAATGCAGATGCCATGACTTTAAATGAAATAAAAAACTTAAAACTCTTAAAAGATCAAATTCATCTAAAGAATTTCATGAGATTTTGTCTTTTTGTGGGAGGTTACCCATTGTTCAACATTGCAATATCCTGTTTTCTTTTTCTCTGCTTATATATTCAAGTTCACAGAGAAATATGATTTCCATGTATGGCTTGCTTATGTTTCCTGGAATATTATATTAAAAATATGCAATTCATTTAAATATACTAAATGTGTATCGCCTTAATTTTCCAATTAGATAACTCATGAAGACATTAAGAAAACTTACGGTGGATCATCTGGAAGTCGTGGCTACTACTCCAGTGCTTTTGCAAGGTAGATTGTACTTCTGTAGCTGCTTAACTTTGCCCTTTTAATGGATTAATACAATTATTTGTTTTAGTGACTAATTAGTAGATGTATATGTTGCACATTCATAAATGATTCCAGTTGGTTTACAATGCAAATATATAAACCTTTAAAAGCCTATATATAGTCATTTAAAAACTAGCAACATAAAATCCATAAATACCTTGACATTTGTTCAAAATGAGGAACAAAAAATATCTCAGCATGTTGAAAGCAGTGTTCAGTCCATAGCACAGAGATGGGGGAGCCTCCATTTTGAAGACCTACAGCAGATTGACAGACTTTGAGAAAAGCAGGTATCGTCCTGGCAACTGTGACCAGAATGGCAGTTGGAAGAGCTTCAGCTATACCAATCCAAGAGTGATTGGTTCTGCCTCAGGAAGTCAGCCTTAAGGAGCAGATATATTGTGGCCAAGACCAGTCCAGCTGCTTTTATAAGTAGCCTGGTGTAGCACCTATAAGTGCGCTTCTGTTTTCATTATCCAGCATTATCCTTGATTATTTGGCACTTTTGAAATGGCAGCTGTGCTTTTATCATTTTGTGAAAAGTGAGGCTCCAGATCTTCTGCCTTGATAAATGGGATGTAACACATTTGAAGCAGAGAACTCTTGTACCTTTAAGAATTATTCTTTGAGGTTTATAAAAATGCTTCTGGATTTGAATAATGTGCTTTTTGATCCTTTGATTATAAAGGTTAAATGCATATAATTACTTTTACTAAGATGTAATTATGCATTTTATTTTGGGCTATTAAATGCATATGTATTTTAACATGCAAGATATAAATACTATTTTTTGTTTGTTTATATCACTGCAATAGCTCGACAAATGCATATATGCTTATATATAGACTAAAGGATACAACTAGAAATGCAAGTAAGTACACATTCCATTATTCACAGGTTGATTGTGGTTTTAATGATATTTCTAATGTGATTGAATCACCTCATTTCTATAAAACCTAGCTAAATTGCTTTTCTTTTCTCCAGTTCATGAAAGGAGAAAAATTAATCCAAATTAATGGGAAGACATATATAGGTTTCTTTTCCTCTTTGAATTTGATAGCATGCTGCAGCAAATAATTTTTTTTGAACATGGATTTGGAATGGAGGTAAAATGACTGTTGGAAGTATATTAGTTCAGATTAGCTGTTTTTGAAGAAAGAGTAAAGCAGTGTTTTGTTTACTAAATCTCATGCACTGAGCTATAGATTTTATTGGTTGATATGTGCTTATTTTTAAGTAGTTTAAGTAGATAAGTAGTTTAATATATATAGACTATGCATAAAGTGTGTGTGTGTGTGTGTGTGTGTGTGTGTGTGTGTGTGTGTGTGTGTAAAAGAGAATAAGTGGGTCCATTTTAGCAGTGCGTCCATTTCACAAATACTCCTAGACAGCATTCCTTAAGGTCCCCAAACTTGTTGGTTCTGTGGACCGATGGTGGAGGCAACAGAGGGGGAATGGTTTTATTCATGAACTTCATTCACAAATGAAACTTTGCACACTCGCAGGCTGCTTCAACGGCCCGTTTCCGAACAGGCCTGCTAGTGGTCTACGGCTCAGGCTAAAGTTGTATGTGTAATTTAAAGTAAGATTCGTTTACAAAATAACAAAATACTGCAAAACCAAGTATTTTTTTAAAAAAGCTCATGTTCTTATTGCATTAATAGAGTTCTTAGAAGTCAATGAATATCCAGAGCATATTAAACGATTAGTAGAAAAAGAAAAGGAACTGGAAGAACAAGAAAAGAGGCAGCGTGAAATAGAACGCAATACTTGCAAGGTATGTTTTGGCACATTTCACCTCAAATGTTTGCTTAGAGCAAGATGAGCAGATGATTTTATACATATTGCTAGATGGAGAAAACCCTTTATTAAACAAGGTTAATTCTAAACTGGGTGGACAATATTAAGTTTCTGACAGCAATGGTCTGGTTTATGATTATAGGCTGCATTGGCATAACACATAAGTCAATATATTTCACTTGAAATGGATTAAAATTTAAAAATATTTTTTTCTTTGCACTTGGCTTATGTTTTTGATGTATTTTAGAAATTTTGAAAATGCATATTTTTAGAACCTAGATAAAGTAACTTAATACATATTCTGGAATTTTGCTAATATAATACCGTGTTTCATTTGTTCATGTCACCTTTTGAACAGAATCATATGTATTGTTTATTCATTGATATAGTATTATCTGTGAGATATAATTTGCTGATTTGAAAGAGTCTTTGAAATGTAAAAGCATGTAAGATGATTATGTTTTCCAGATTTTTTTCTTTTAATTGTTGAATATCTCTTTTCTAACAAAAATGTTCATGCACAGAACATTGTAATTCAGTATGCTATCAAGTAGATTGAAAAATCAGTTTGATTTTTTTTCTGTCATTGGCAATTACAGATAAAATTATTCTGTATGCATCCTGTAAAACAAATAATGATGGAAAATAAACTGGAAGTTCATAAAGATAAGACTCTGAAGGAAGCTGTGGAGATAGCTTATAAGGTACAATACTTTACGGGGTAATTGCTAAATTGATCAAGATCTCAAGGGCTACATCAGTGTATACATGGGGTTCGTTGATGCCATTTGTCTCCTTATTGGCTTTCTGTTTGCATTGGGCAATATTAGAATGATATTGGTTGGTTGAGTCATGAGCCAAGTATAGGGCAGTTATAAAAAATCATTAAATAAATATTTTTCTTACTGTACTTTAATACTTTAATCTTACTGTAGCTTCTGTTGATATTCTTTATTAATTGAAAGCCATAACAAACCCATTGTGGTATAGTAATGAAGGTATTGGATGAGTGTTTGAACTCCTAGAGGGAAGGGAGGATACAAATATAACAAAATTATTACATTTGTGGCAATTGTGCCAAAGAATCTTGCCAGATCACATATTAATGGACAATAAAGATAATGTTGGTATTATTTTTAGATTAGTGGCCATGCATGTAGTTGTTAGATTTTTTTGTTTTTGTTTTTTGTTAACAAGCATGACATATCTGGAGAAGTTGAAATTAGAATGTTTTTCTGCAGTTTTGACTGAACACTTGAATAGCATTTCAATAACACTATTTTTCACTTTTGTATGGGTTATAGATAATGGATTTAGAAGAGGCAGTTCCTTTGAATTGCTGCCGTCTTGTTAAATATGATGAGTTCCATGATTATCTGGAACGATCCTATGAAGAAGAAGATGACATTGCAATGGGAATCTTGCTTGGTGGTGTTAAATCAACCTACATGTTTGATCTTCTTCTGGAAACCAGGCGACCTGATCAGTCTTTCCAATGTTACAAACCTGGTGGTAAGTGATACTTTATAAAATTGTGATTTTATGAATGCAAAACAAAATTATTTTTGATAATCATACATTATAGTAAGTATATTATCTTTAAATTGAGTATTTACGGGGCAAGTGTTCCTTTTAACCTTTTTTGCCATTTGTGATATCATCTTCATGGTTTATATTTATTATTTTGGCAGAAGTCATGGTAAAGGTTCATGTTGTTGACCTAAAACAGGACACAGTGGCTCCTCCAATTAGTGTCCGTGCTTATTTGAACCAAACAGTTACAGAATTCAAGTATCTCATTTCGAAGGTAAATAATTTCCACTTTATTCTTTTTTTCTGAGTTTTTCTTTAGAGTATTAAAAGCGCTCATTTTATCTTGTTTTTCCTGTTACCCTAGGCTGTACATTTACCTGCTGAAACAATGCGTGTTGTTTTGGAACGTTGCTATAATGATTTGCGTCTTCTCAGTGTGGCTAACAAAACACTTAAAGCTGAAGGCTTTTTTAGGAGCAATAAAGTAAGATATTTTTTTCTTTAGTTTTTCTTTCAAAGTATAAATATAAATATTGTATTAATCTCAGATTGTCTGCAAAAACATAATAAAATGCTTTTACAAAATAATTTCCAATAATAAATGTACAATATGTCAGAGAGACAATAATTTATTTGTTCGATAGGAATTTCTTGATTTCCAGATAAGTCACATTTATCTGTAGTTTATGTACAAAAGATAGTTTCTGTAAGAGGTTAAGATTTTTCCTTGTGGATTTACTTTTTTTTTTTTTTACGTTTTAGGTATTTGTTGAAAGTTCTGATTCTCAAGATAGACAGCTGCCATTTACAGATTCACAGTTATGGAAACTCCTAGATCGCCATGCAAATACAATCAGACTGTATGTTTCATTACCGGAACAGTCTCCTGGATCATTGTTCAGAAGGACAATATTTCAAAAGGCGAGTGGAGATTCAGGCAGTTTAGATGCAAATTGTGAAGCAGGGAAAGGATCTTTACCTAATGCAAAATCTGTAGAAGCTATCCTAGAAGAGAGCACTGAAAAACTTAAAACCTTGTCCTTACAGCAACAGCAGCAGGAAGGAGATAATGGCGACAGCAGCAGAAGCACAGAGGCCAGTGACTTTGAAAATATTGAATCGCCTTCCAATGAGGCAGATTCATCAGCATCAATTGAAAACCAGGAACTCGAAAACCAAATACAGGTTTCTGATACAGATAATTTCCAATCAGAGGAGCGGTCAGATTCCGATTTGAACAATGACAGAAGCACAAGTTCAGTGGACAGTGATATTCTTAGTTCCAGCCACAGCAGTGACACGTTATGCAATGTCGATAATGCCGCTATATCCTTAGCGAATGGACTTGATTCACACAGCATAACAAGCAGTAGGCGATCCAAAGCCAACGAAGGGAAAAAGGAAACATGGGATACGGCCGAAGAGGACTCTGGAACCGACAGTGAATATGATGAAAGTGGGAAAAGCAGGGCAGAAGCCCAGTTTATGTACTTCAAGGCAGAACCCTACATTGCAGAAGAAGGTTCAGGAGAGGGGCAGAAATGTATGTATCAAATACGGTAACGTGCAATATGTTTTTCTAGAAATGTAGATTGCTTGTTTATTTATGTCTATATGTTGTATACATTCCTGCAAAATATGTTTATACATGCAGGCTTGCTGTTTGCATAAAATGAAAGATGGTTCTAGATGTTTAGATGTAGGTACTCCTCAGTTTACCACCACAACTGGGACCAGAATTTAAGGTAGTAAGTTATACAGTTATTAAATAAATAATGTGGTTGTTAAGTGAATCATTTGTTTATTAAATGAGTCATGCAGTCAGTAAACAAATCCTGCTTCCCCCATTGAGTTTATCTGCTGGAAGCTGATTGGGAAGGTCACAGATCATGATCACATGACTACAGGGTGCTACAACTGTTGTAAATGTGAGCTGCTCGTCAAACACCTAAGTTTTGATCATGTGACCGCGAGGATGGTGTGATGGTTGTAACTTCAAGGACAGGATGTAAATTACAGATGAAAGTCACTTTTTTCAGCACCATCGTAACATTGTTAAACTAATGGCCATAAGTTGAAGACTACCTATACTACTAGACATGCACATGCATTTAGGGAATTGGAGTAGAATCAAGTTAAATTCAAGAAAAAGAAAGCTGCATCATTTTCCTTCATTGGTAGAGAATGCTGTGATATTGAGGCTTTGATTTATGACTTCCTCTATTGATTAGAAAAACTTTGGGAAATACTACCAGAAGGAAGCTGCTGCTTCCATCTGATCCACAATCAGAGAATAAATCAGGTCATTATTTTTTTTTAATAAGCAGAGGAAGCTGTAAAAAATGTAGGAGGAAGCAATTCTGTACATACCACTTTGGGGTATATGAAATGCAGAGTCTAAATCAATAAACTTTAAGGCAAGAATAGTTAATTGTTCAAAGTTTGGCAATATAATTGTTTTAAGGGAAGATTGATTTTTGCCAATAAATTGTTAACAAAACCATTGTGCATCTGTGACACACCATGTGCAATTGCTAAAAATGACATTTTCTGAAAATTTACTACAGCTTTGAGTATAAATTAAATGTTAAAAAGAAGGCAATTTCAAGATGCAGTTTAACTGTAATGCATAATTTTAAAACATACTACTTTTTCATTAGACGGACCTTCTTTTTAAAATATTAAGTGGTATAGCTTAATAAATTATTATTTATAATCTCACACATGCCCCAATCACCTGCTGTACAATTTCCTTATATGTGAAGTTACATACTGTAGAATACAGTGTTAATGGATGTGATAACTGTCTCTGATCACTTGAAGTCTTATAACTTGAAACTAAAGAAGAAAAGGGAATATGTGTATCTATTAATAATATGAATGAAATTATATTGATATACATGTGGCATAAGAACAGAGTTTGTTTTTCAGATTAATTTTTTTTTTCTTGGTTTAGGGTTGTTGATTCATGTTGATAAAAGAATTACACTCTCTGCCTTCAAACAACTCTTGGAGCCGTTTGTTGGAGTTCCATCTTCTCAGTTTAAGGTCTTTCGAATTTATGCCAGCAATCAAGAATTTGAGAGTGTCCGGTTGAATGAGACTCTTTCATCCTTCTCAGATGATAACAAGGTTAGCAAAATATGCTATTGAATACTAGCGGAAAGCAGTTAGAATGTAATGATTCACTCAATTATTTTTCAGGAGAATGTTTTGTTGTTTTAATATAGTGAGGTGGTATTTATCTTTTTAAAAATCTACCATCTGCAACTCAATATCTTTAACATTTTGTATACAAGGCAGTCCTCATTTAACATACACTCGTTCAGCAATTTTCAAAGTCACAATGGTGCTGAATGAGGGTACTTATGATGAGTCCTTTTAGTTGCGGCCATCACTGCTTCCCCATGGTCATGTGATTGTGATTTGGGCAGTTGGTAACTGGCTCATAATTGCAATAGTTGCATTATCCTGCAGTCCCATGATCACCATTTGTGATCTTCACTGCCAGTTTCTGACAAGTAAATTCAATAGGGAAGCCAGTAGGAGGTTGCAAATAGCAATCGTGATGATGGGACACTGAAACCCTACAGGATTCACCTAACGGGCTGCCAGAACTGCTGTTGTTAGTCTTAGCAAAGGTCCTAATTACCATTGGTAAGCAAGAACTACTTGTATATCTATTTGAATCTGGAGGTGTTTTTTTTTTTCATTTCCAGTCAAACAAAAATACAATCTCAATGGTTTCTCACCCATACCTGCATACACATCCTATTATTCACATTCCACTGGGTCTCTTGACACTGAAGAAACTTTAGGAGATTTGTGAAATTATAGAGGGATGGTAGGAAGGTGGTTAAAAGTAATCAATATTGCATGAATTTAGTTAATACCTGCATCTCATTCTTTTCCCTGTAAAATTTTCATTCAAGAGTAATCCAATATTTTTATAGGAACAGAAGTGTAAAATGCTTATACTCACAATTTCTGAGATGCTTCTCCATAAAGGCATCCACTTTTCTCAAATTTGATTATTGAATTTTGAAGTGCATTACATTGACACAGACACAAACATTTAATAGTTATTTAACTGCCAGCATTCTGTGTTAAGAGACAAGTAATATCTTGAAAGCTTTTTATTTTTTCTTTTTAACTTAAAGATAACTATCAGGTTTGGAAGAGCACTGAAGAAAGGGGAATACAGAGTCAAGGTTTACCAACTTTTAGTGAATGATCCAGAGGTAAGTAAGATGTGAAACTCCTGAAACATCTTGAACAACATAATTGTTAAAAAGTGAACTTCCTACATCCAATGTAACCAGTAGCTGAAAAATAAGATTTAGCAAAAGCTGCACAGTTCCAATATGGGCATCATATTACTAGCAAGTTTTAGAAGCAGTTAACAAAATAGATTCTCTGGGAAATGTACTCTTACGCTCTAATTCACAATTTTTCTAATATGTATACATATTGTTCTGATGGGACACAACTCTTTAGAGTAGCAGAAAACTGTTGTTTGAGTTGCCAAAAGAAACTTCTGACAACTGTAATAAAAGTAAGGAGCATCCCATTTTCATCTGATTTCTGTTAGCCTTCCATGAGGAGGATATTTTGATATTCTGGTTAAAGACTCCCAAGTTCTCCCCACTTCCTTGCGGGGATATTTAAAGAATTCTATGGGCGAGAATAGGAGTGAAATGTTAATTAAAGCAATAATTGGAAAGCATTTTTAAGTAAAAAGTGTATGTGTCTCGCATGAATTCAAACATAAAACTAATTGCTAGAATAAAATGTTTGCAAAATAAATAATTATTTTTAGCTAAGTGATCGGAATAAAATGTATTTTAAAGAAAGGAAGTTGCAGTTACTTGAATCATAAGGCATCCCGGCTATCAGGTTTTTTTTGTTACCTGGTTTAAGTACAGGTCTTCCCTGTTAATATTTTCTAGCTACAGAAAATAATAATAATCAGTTTCTTTTTATTGATAAAGAATCATGGATATATATGTCTGATGCACAGGAGTACTGAGCCTTTAATGGAAGGTTGAGATGCACTATTAATAAAATTTAATACATAACACTGGCATATAAAATAGTTTGCATAAGTTTTTATCTATATAGCAACCTCTTTACTCCTCCATAGACAAGCCATAATTAAAATTAGAAGCTTCTTTGATTGCTAAATTCTAAACCAGTAATGCCATAAAAACGGAGTCTGTGGCCAGAAGGGCCTTTTGACTGGGGCACCAGTTGTGGCCTTACTTAGAACAGGACACTTTGAATATATATTCTTGCCTATTTCGTGTCATGCCTGTATTTCTGAGATCTGCTGTACATGGGATTGTCCTTGAAGAACACCTGAAAACTTCAATCTGGTACTTTCTGTTTTTGAGGACAGTTTAAGACTTCTGATTACCTGGAAGCTTTATATGGCTCAATATCTGGGTATATCCTGTTCCTCAGTCTGGATAAACAGGGAGCACCTCTTGAAGTGTGATGCCAGGGCATGCAGAGGTAGGCATTCTTGGTGGATGCTCCCCTTTTGAAACAGTTTACCACTAGAAAACAATGCCTTCCCCAGTCTCAGCGCCTTTCAGAGAATAATGAAATAATTAAAAACAAGGGTTTTTTCTAGAATGCCTTTGAAGATGCAATAACTAGAAAAATATCCACACTATTATGGCTTCAGTTTTGAATGTTTTTTTTTATTATATTATATTGTGTGCTGTACTATTTTTACCTAGATGATCTGTAATGAGCAGATTTTTAAATCAAATAGGTAATCCTATTTACATCCTTTTTTGTGTCCTGATACACTATTGTATATATTTTCCTTTCCCCTTCAAGCACACATGGACAGCACAGAATTCACTGCTGCTGGCAGGCAAAAATTCTTTGTTGATATATTTTGTGCAAAGAGAAAGTAGGGATACTCACAATATGAAAGCTTTCTAACACATTATCTATTTAAATGTGTTTTCACAGCCCTGCAAGTTTCTTATAGATTCAGTTTTTGCTAAGGGAATGACTGTGAGGCAATCAAAAGAGGAGTTACTTCCTCAGCTCAGGGAGCAATGTGGGCTGAATTTGACTGTTGACAGGTAAACATCATTAAAATGAATCTCAAAATTCTTCTGTTGACCATATCATATTTTTAAAAAAGTCATACATTTATTTTCTTTTGGACTTTTGCTACAAATAAATCATTATACTCGTGTTTTGTTTTATTGATATTACTGTGTTTTGTTTTGTAACTGAAATGAACCAGCATTTATTTACACTTTCTAATACGTAGCACATGGTAGTAATCTTTGCATCAGTCTTAGTTTTGAACAACCAATACTTTATAGATTTTCTAAGACAAACAATTCTTTTGAGTTTTTTTTTCTTATAAAATGAAGGAACCTGACTGAAAATTTTAATTTGGTGCTTTTAGCTCTGGCTTAAGTTCTTCTGATAAAAACATGTCCTGTACCTATTTCAGGATAGCACTCTATCTAAATTAAATGTGGTTGCGACTAGATTTTATACATTAGTTTATAAACATATACTAATACCTTCAACTACTGTTTTGTTTTTCCAATAGATTTCGTCTAAGAAAGAAGACTTGGAAAAATCCAGGGACTGTGTTTCTGGATTATCATGTCTATGAAGAAGATATTAATATTTCAAGTAACTGGGAGGTTTTCCTAGAAATACTTGAAGGTATCAATACTTTGAAGTCAATTATTTTAATTAAGCTTTACAATTTTTATATTATATACAATTTTAAATTATATAAAAGTTGATTGTGTTGTCTTAAAAGTAAACTTTTGTGGAAAAAAATTACAGTGCAATTCCATATACATGTAGTGAAAAATAAATCCAGCTAAAGCCTGGTGACAAATATTAGGGTTAGATTTAGTGAAGCAACAGAGTATATTTCTAAAATTTTATTGTAGCTCAGAATGTAAAGTTGAGAGGCTTTAGGAAAGCATTTGGCTGCTTGAAGAATGTCTTAAATCTAGACAGCATACTAAAAAGCAGAGACATCACCCTGCATATAGTAAGGCTATGGTTTTCCCAGTTACTGTTCTGACCTAGGCTTCAGGAGACAGTAAAAAGCACATGATTAGTCCCAAAAGCCCTCTTTTTATTTCAACGGCTATGAATTATGTTCATTCCCAGCCCTTAATGAGTCACAAATAGTTTGTAAAATCTGCCACAGTCCTTCGGGATAAAGCTGATAAGCACCCACCTTTATCTCCCTTGACACACTGTCAAATTCCTAATTGGCAGTTAGCTTTGCAAGGCCACAGGGAGCACAGAATCAAAACAGAGCTTCAGAATTTAAACTGACCAGAACGAACAGCCTTCCTGCAAAGGCTCATGTGCCTTTGCTCCTCCTTTATGTCTTATGGGAGGGGCAAATCATCTCCAAGCCCTTCTCCGGAGTTGTCCCTTTTGTCTTAACTGTTCTTGCCTTCTGGCAGCTTTGCACATGCGTGCACTACGAACATGCTCCCCCTGATGTCCACAGAGATTGTGGAGGCTCTGGAGGCAGCACATCTCCCAGATGGCCTTGGCCCCCTCTCTGTCTCCGACACAGAGCCTCGTCAGAGCCTTTGCCAGACTCCAGGACTGGCCCATGTTCTTCCCCAACCTCCTCACTGTCTGACTCTGCTGTCAGCTCCGCAGGCCGCCAGCGGACCACAACAGTTGCAATGTATGGTTATGAAAGTTGGACCATAAGGAAGGTTTGAGACCTTTGAACTATGACGCTGGAGAAGACTCCTGCGAGTCCTTTGGACTGCAAGGTGATCAAACCAGTCAGTCCTACAGGAGATCAACCCTGACTGTTCTTTAGAAGGCCAGATCCTGAAGATGAAACTCAAATACTTTGTCCACCTAATGAGAAGGAAGGACTCACTGGACAAGAGCCTAATGCTGGGAACAATTGAGGGCAAAGAAGAAGGGAACAACAGAGAATGTGATGGCTGGATGGAGTCACTGAAGCAATTGGCGTGAGATTAAATGGACTCCGGGGGAAGGTAGAGGACAGGAAGGCCTGGAGGAATGTTGTCCATGGGGCCGCGATGGGTCAGACACAACTTTGCGACTAACAACAAGAATGTCTTAAACTAACGATATGAATCTAATAAAAAATACAGGATCATCCAAGATCTGAAGAAAACTTCTAGACTTCAAGCATTTATTTTTCATAAAACATCAATTGAGATTTTCCAATCTGCTTTTAGGTCCATTGTCTCCTAGATAGTTATATTTTTACTGGATCTCCAGTCCCAGATTCCTGGAGATCAGGATACTACTTATCTGGCTTGGAACTTGCCCAAGAAAAGATGCTTCATCCCTCCCATGGGAGAAAAAGCAAACTAGATAAAGACGGAGCTACCCCTTCCTTTGTTTAAAAGCATACTTTCTCACTCATGGTTGGATCTTGATCTCTTATTTAGTGGATAATCTCTGCTACCTAGAGCGATAGATCAGATTGGCTGTCCTTTAACTCTTAATATCTCAAACTTTGGGGTTGACGTTTCTCCCTATTTACTCCAGATAGCAACAGCTTTTGTATGTAGTAACATACAAAACAACAAACTATGCAGCTGTCTTTTTTACTTATTCAAATTTGTTCTGAGTCTTTTCCCTCACTCCCATCCGTTCAAATTTGAAACAAAATTTAAAACATGATATTTTGGGCAAGATTATTCTAATTGTGGTTTTTTGTTTTACATACATTTGTTTTTATTTTTTTTAATGTATTTCGTTTATACAGTCACAATTAGCAAGACAATCTTCACACTTAAAGAAAATGCTGTAAATAAACATTTAAACATCTCTTCCTGAAATATTTTACTGAATACCCTTACATTCCAAATAAACTTTTAGAAGCAGAAAAAATGAAATCTATGTCACAACTTGCTGTTCTGTCAAGAAGATGGAGGCCATCAGAGATGAAACTGGATCCTTTTCAAGAAGTAGTTTTAGAGAACAGCAGTGTTGATGAATTAAAAGAAAAGGTAAATTAGCCTCATTTATATAAATATCCCTCTCTTACAGAATTCATAGTTACTTTCTTTTGGAAAACTCTAAAAACTTCTAAATAGTTACAGTGATCATTAAAAGAATATTTTGGGGTTTATTGGCAAATTCAAACAGTATGCTGTGCCACAGTGTAGCAAGAGTTATACAATATGCAAAGCCAATTTTCCCCAACTTTGAGATATATATAATGTTATGCTATGCTATGCTATGCTATGTTATGTTATGTTATGTTATATATAATACTAGTTAATACAAAATATTATATAATTATATTATATTATATTATATTAAACAAAATATTATATAATACTCCAACCAGTGTAGCCACTTCTGAGAATTCTGGTATTTAAAGTCTGCCCAGTTGCTATGCTCTGCCATAATGCAGTTTGCTTTTGACTTAGCCTGTACTGAAAACCCAGTCAAATGGGAGTTATTCATAAACCGTGATTAAACAAACTATATTCCAGCCCAATGTATAAACCAATTTTCTTTTAGCATATAAAATATCTGCTTAATTTATTCCTAAAAAGATATAAATTAGGTTTTTAGAGTACAATAGAATTAATAGTAATACAATTACTTCACATAATTTAAGAAATCAAGCCTAAATAAACACTTCTTCATCTTAATTTTCCCGATGTTTTAAATTGCAACTCACAGCAGCCCAAGTGAGCAGTGCCAGTGGGAATTGTAGCCTAAATAGATGGAGAAATTCAGCTGAGGATTATTGCTTAGACACCCATAAGATAGTGTATCATTTATATCTGCATTAGATAAAGCTAAAGATTTACTATGAATGAGTTCAGAAATGAAAGATCCAACTGCTATTTTCTATGAGAAAACAATGTGCTCCAAAGTGCTTTCAGTACATATTTTATTCCATATTCGCACATTGTAATTTGATTATAAAGACCCATAACTGTTACACTTTAGGCACTAATAGTTAAATATTCAACTTTAAAAATACACTTCATAACCCATCACCTGTTGAGCCATCCTTTTAGAGACATTTCCTTACCTAAACAGAAGAATAGAATGACTTTTGGCAGACAAAAAAGCAATGGGAACAGGAACAACTTCCAACTTCCTGCTGGCTACCCCATTGATTTTGCTGGAGGGAATTAGCAGGGATCTTTGGAAATCAGAATCACATGATTACAGCTAATCATGATGACACTGCAATGACCACAACTTTGTGAATACAAGCAGTGTGAAGATAATTTCAAATACATGGGAATAATGGGTTGTGAATTTTGCACAAATTCTTTAAGTCAGTGGATTTGAGATATCTTGATTAAAAAATGTTTGCACTATGATGTAGTCTCTGGGCTACTTGAAGATTACAGAGTTTTACCGTTTTCCCTAAAATAAGACATCCCCTGATAATAAGCCCAATCGGGCTTTTGAGCGCATGGCAATAAGGCCAAGCGCTTATTTCAGGGTTCAAAAAAAATATAAGATAGGGTCTTATTTTCGGGACAACACAGTAGTAATATTTAGATTTGTAATACCAAAGGTGGTAGGATAGCAAGAGAATTTGCTATCAATTTAAATGATAGAATTTGAGCAGAAGCAGCAAAGCTGTTATCTCAAATTGTTGAACTCTTTAATAAGCTATATAAGTTAAATAAAATTTTGCTTACTTTTAAGACATTCTGATAGACGTTCTAATAGAAATGTAAGTCAGAGTGAGAAAGATTTAGAAGCCATCTAGTCCAAGCCCCTGCTCAGTTCAGAATCTACTAAAGCATCATCTATTCCTTGTTCTTTAAGCACTTGTTTTGTTTGTTTGAATAATGTATATATTTTTATGTTTTGTTTCTTTTGCTTTTTTATTATTTTAAAAGTAATAAAATATGTATAAAAAGCATCTATTAAAGATGACATTTAGCTTTTTTAGATTATTTAAAAATAATAAAAAGCTAGGAATGTCTATCAGTTGAGATGCCAGGTTTTGCACAAAATACAGTTGAGATGCTAGTTTTTGCACATAACATAAATTGGGAAACAGCCAGCAAGAATATATGAAACTTCATATACCTGACTTTTGGAAATAAACTCATTTGATATATATTTTTCACAGCTTTGCGCAATAAGTGGAATCGTCTCAGAAAATATTGAATTTGCAAAGGTAAGTTGTTACTTATTTCTTCAAGCTGCTGGATGTGATTCAGATGTCCTCTCAGCTGAGTTTTGTTCAGAAAATGCTGATCAAATACTAATACCTTTTTCTGCTATAATACCTGAATCCTCTGAAGGAGATATTGATGAAATTGAGCAGGGGGAGAAGAAAAGACATTCTCTCCTATCAATTTTCTTTCTTCCAAGTAGAATGAAAGTGCTTGTCTCTTTAATATATGAGCCGTAAAAATATCCATCAATTGGCTAGTCCTTTTGATTTAATTTTTGATTTCATATAGCATTGGAAAATGTAATTAAGTCCTGGCTGATCACCTACATCTTTTTGAAGTTCAAGCCTGCATTCTTTTACAATACAGAAAGTAGCCTGACTGAATGGAGAAGTGTCAAACTGGCTTTTCCTAGGAGGACTGAGGGAGATTGGGGGATAGATTTATTACACATAACTGAAAAATGTGATTAAGTCGTGTGTTTTGAAAAAGGATTGATTTGGAAATAGAGACATAAATGAAAAACAATATTGGTTATGGTCATAGCACACCTACATTTTGAGTATGTATATTTGTGTTGAACCATAACATACTAAGTGAGATTTGTCTTTAGTGAGATGAGTGGCCATATAAATCAAATAAATAGATATATATATACATACTTTACTAAGATACTCTGTTTATCCTTTCCAGGGTAGAGGGACATTTCCATGTGAGATCTCCATTCTAGAGATACATCAAGATTTGGACTGGAATCCGAAGGTTTCCACACTGAATGTATGGCCTCTCTACATCTGTGACGATGGAGCAGTAATATTTTATAGGTATATCCTTTTAAGTCATTACCTCCTATATATTGAAAAATTTCCAATATGAAAAAACAGTAATTGTAGAAAAGTGCATTAAATAAATCAGAAATGAGAAATGACTCAGGAAGGAATGATACGTTGTTCATTTTCTGACTGCATTAGTTTGACTATCTTTATGATATTGTCAGAATTTTGCATTTCAACTGCTTACTTAGGTAAGCAGAGTATAAGCATGTTACTCTTTAGGAGTGAAATTTTTAAGAAGAAAACATTTTATTCAATGTTTTCAAGATACATATAGCTATATGCTAGCACAGTCTAAAATAATTAGATTTTATGCCTACTACTAGATTTGAAGCTAAGCAAAAGTAATACAGAAATAATATTTAATATAAATTTAATCAGTATTCAAGAGATGTATGTCGTACTTGACTGCAAGGTCCTGGTAAATGCTATATTCTCAGAGAAGGGATTCTTAACAAGCATCTTATAGCTTTTACTGAACAGGAAGACACAGTTCAGTACAAATAGTCTCAAGAGTATCCAGGGTCTGACCCTTGGAGGGTTTTCAAGGTGATACCCAGTATCTCTAATTCACCCAGAAGCAGATTGGCAGCCAAACTGGCTCTTGTTGTACTTGTATCACATGAGTAAATCTAGGGCGACCATTAATGATCCTAGGTACCTTATGCTGGAGCAGCTGAAGCCTTCAAATAATATTCAACAAGAGTCCTACTGAATAATGAACTGCAACAGGCCAACCGTGATGTGATGGGGGTATTCGTGATTGTGTACAATGCTCCCTGATCCAGGAATAGTACTTTAGATATAATTATACAAAGGTCTCACTGGAGAAGAGCCTAATGCTGGGAACGATTGAGGGCAAAAGAAGAAGGGGATGACAGAGAATGAGGTGGCTGGATGGAGTCATTGACGCAGTTGGCATGATCTTAAATGGACTCACTTCACGACTAACAGCAGCAGCAGCAATACAAAGGTCCTAGTAGCTGTGGTCTGCATATGCTACTCAAGCAGGAACTGAATCCTAGAAAACCTCCAGGTTATAAGCCAGCTGTACTGAAATAATTTTAAAAGTTGCCTTTGTTTTTACAAAATGTGCAATTATATAGCGTTTTTGGGATCTACCAGTTTACATTATTGACAAGAATAACGTACCGTATTTTCCGGCGCATAAGACGACTTTTTAACACATCTTCTCAAAAGTCGGAGGTCGTCTTATACGCCGGGTGTCGTTCTCCTGTAACCAGGCAGACCAGCCCGAAAGGCTCTGACGAGCCTTAAATGGCTCTGGTGATTCAAGCTCTGACGATCCCAGCTGCATTGCCTGCTAATCAGGCAACGCAGCTGGGATCGCCAGAGCCATGTAAAGGGAAAAAAGTTTTCCCCCTCCAGCTTGCTTACTTAGCTGCTAGTCGCAACACTTGCCTTGCTTTGGTTGCCTGAATCCATTCCATCAGCAAGCCACTCCCTGCCTGCAATCAAGCAGGCAGGGAGTTGTGGACTTCAACTCCCAGAATTCCTCAGCCAGCAAAAGAAAGCTGGCTGAGGAATTCTGGGAGTTGAAGTCTACAAGTCTTAAAGTTGCCAAGGTTGGAGACCCCTGTTCTATTGGGTAAGTTTTTTTCCCCTTTGGGAGCTTTTAAAAAAATAGTTAATTGGGGTTTTTTTTAGTTGTTCTTTTTTAGACCTAGCCATTTAAAGTTTAGGAAGTTTTAAATTTAGTTTTCATATAAAAATAAAATAATATTTGTGCAGCTTTCTGAGATTTAGTGTGTTTCTGTAGTGTTTCACTCTAACTACACAAACACAAAAAATCTCACAAAGCTGTATGTGGAATTTTGTATGTGAAAGTTTTTTTGGGGGCTTTTTGTGGCTGTGTGAGGTTCCTGCTTGTTGCAGGGGCCATTTTGGGTCTAGCACAGCTGCTTTTACATTGTGGGTGAGCCAGTTGATGTTTTTTAACTTTTATTTGGTGTGCGTTGGAAGAGGGGTAGTCTTATACGGCGAGTATAGCCCAAACCCTATATTTTAACAGGAAAAGTCGGGGGTCGTCTTATACGCCCAGTCGTCTTATACACCGGAAAATACGGTAGTTTAGAAAATGACCAGTTATCAGTTTGGTAACTTGCTCCTTTTGGATCTTTGAATGGCAAAGATCTTTTCTAATTTTCCATCTTCTCCTCTGAACTGGCTGTTCTGAAGTACATTCTGAGCATTGATTTGGCATTAAGAGCTGTAAGTTCTTGACTCTGTCCCAAAATTATGTGAAATATGGGTGCTTTTATCTTGTCCAGAAGGTGTTTTGTGTGTTAGGGACATCAAATGTGTATTGCCTTGTTAAAAATGTGTAAATGTATGTTTGTTGTAGAATTTAAATCCTTTTTTTTTTATGTAAGGGATAAAACCGAAGAAATGGTGGAACTAACTGAAGAACAGAGAAATGAACTCATGAAAAAAGAAAGCAGTAGACTTCAGAAAACTGGACATCGTGTGACCTACTCCCCTCGTAAAGAAAAAGCACTAAAAATATATCTTGATGGAGCGCCAAATAAAGATTTGACTCAAGACTGATATTTATTTCAGCATTTTCTCTGGGAAATTTTTCTTAAGTGTGAAAAAGGTACACAACTACTGTGTAGTGCCATTATGGCAGGACATTAGGTATAAAGAAGAGGCATCAGCACTGATTGGTAAAGGACAGCCCAGTCCAGTTCAGTGCCCAGTCAAATCCCCGTTTGACTTGGAATCACGTTGTGCACTATAGTCAAATGTACTGTAAAGAGAAAAGGGATGTGCAAATAAAAACCCAGAAAAGCGGGGAGGGTAATCGGCAAAAATTGGAGATAAATGTGCACATAGCAGTAGCTAGTCAACTAGCCACAGACAGGATATTCATAGCTTAATAAAAGCTGTGCAAAGGCCATGAATGATTTTTGTTTTGTTTTTTCACTGATACACACATTACCTCACAGAAGATTTCTGAAGTAAATGTGACAGTGGTTTTTATAAAAGCAAAGATGTGGAAATGGACTAGAAATGTGATGAAATTGGCAAAACTCATCCCTTAAAGCTTACAGGTTTAACTCATTGGACTCATCTTCCATGAAGCGAAGACACCTGGAGAAAAAGTATTTTTAGTAAAAGTTACCATTGCCAGCAGGTGGTGTTTATTTTGCAGAAGTGTTGTAACTGATTTTTAGTTAGGTTATGAATAATGGCAGTCACTATTCTGTTCAGTGTGTAAATACTATTTTGCTCTCCTGAGTTACCAGAAATACATTTCAATTGCTTACTATGGTATTTCTTTCCACATATCAATATTCACTGTGTACATTTAAGAGTATAGCTGGCTATTTAAATTTGTATCCCTTTTGTTTTGGGGGGGGCAACGTTGGGTACTTAGATTTGTAATGTTTCCTTGTTAATGAGTTTCAGGGCTTTTTGTTTGATTAGCTACTTATTTTTGTACATTTTTGGACTGGGATTCTTTCGAGTTTGCTTTTTCTAGCATCATTGCAAATCACACTTTTTCTTGAGAGTTGATTCATAGTTTTTATATGTAGCTTTTTTTAAATGAATGGCCTTCATTTAACACCTCCCAGTATAGTTTGCAGTAGTTCAAAATGTGGTACAGATTGATGCAGAACATATGATTTCAATGCAAAGCATATATGAGATTTAATTTGCTACATAAGAGCAATTACAGACAATATCATAGAGGGGTTTCTTTTTCTTTTCTCTTTTTGAAAATGCTATCTAATTTATATCAGTCAAAGGTTTTGGTAAATTTTTCCATGCCAGATGCTGTTTACAACCATGAACATGCAAATAAAACATTTGTTCATTCTATTGTTACTTTAATGACACTTTGAAATTTATTGTAATAGTCAAAATACAGGATTGTTTTGCAAGAAATTCTTACGTAGGAAGAAAAGCCTTTTGAATTGACTTCCAAATGTTTCTTTGCTAGTAGATCTTAAATTGCCATGAATACTTGCAGCTAATTGTGGAAGGATATCACAGGTATTTGAATATGTGAAGCTTTATTCTGCACAGATGCCAGTGCTGCACAAGATCTGAATAGTTTGTGTTTAATTTCTTTTCTAATTCATGAGGGATCTGGAACTGAGGTACATACATATTCAAAGAAAACATGAATACAGTTCCTAGTGAGGCCTTTGAGATAACAACCAAAGATTGGAGAATATAGGCAGATGTGGTAGACAAGGCCAGTATGCACATTCATTCCTACATTGTTTGAAACTGTCACTCAGACAAAATTTTGACCAGGACCCCAATATATTTTTAAAGATTAGACAATGCTGCTAAAAATATAATGGTTGGAAATAAGATTTCTATGGCATAGCAAGATGGTTATTTAAAAGAAAATCAAGAAAAGCTCTATTCTTCCAGTATTCAGATACTAAAAAAACCCCAACCTAATTGCATTTTCCTGTTCATGGAACTGCACTTAAATTTTGAGGATTTGAAGAAGCTAAGCTAAGGCTGATTGGAGCTGTACTGTGGAAAAGGTATACATCCTAAAACATCCAAATGATCAGCTTTTTATGTGTGTGTGTATATGTATTGCCAGGGGTTCAATCCTCACCGACTCAAGGTTGAGACTTCCATCCTTCCATGATCGGTAAAATGAGGACCCATATTGTTGGGAGCAATATGCTGACTAAACCACTTAGAGGGCTGTGAAGCGGTATATAAGTTGTAAGTGCTCTTTATAGATACACACGTATGTTTTACATGTGTTGCCATGAGTGTTTCAGCTTTATTGCAGTACTTGTATTATTGCAGTACAACCCACCCAATTTCAGCCATATTGTCATTCAGGAAATGTTCATTCCAAACCAAGATGTGCAGATCATAGACTACCACTTCTACCCAGTGTAATCAATATAACTAATTAAAACAGATTCTCCTGTTATGCTATGCATATACTAGATACCAATTTCCATAGGTTCTGGTCACAAAGTACATACCATCCTTCAGTGTTGCTGAGCTTTAAAAAGGAAGAAATAGCTGGAATTTCTTTTAAAGGAGCAAAATATACAAGAAATACATAATTCAAACCACCCGGCTTAAATTAATTCAACCCTAATTCTTACCCATCTCAAAACAGTACTTAAAAAGCAGAGATCTCTACCCATTATATTTAGCTTGAGCTTTAGAAAAGGAATCTATTTTCATGAATCTAAGTGGACTTAACTGCACTTCTATGCAGCAGAGAGAAGGTGCAGATATACCATGTGTATATGATAACTCTTGAAACAGCAATAATAGTGCACGTGTGATCAATTAACTTACTGGACTTATATTTCCTCTCCAAAAAAGTCACTAGCCATAGCTAATTTCCCTGAATCAGCCATTCCATCTTCCAGTTCTTTCTGCACTTCTTTGATCAGTCTTTCTTCATATTCACCAGGTATATCTTGGGTTACAAAGTCCAGAAGTGATAATTCATCCGCTAGTAGTTGTTTTTTGTCCTCACTTTGGGTCTTGTTCAGTGATAATTCACAGAGAGAGTCGCTGCTATAACTGGAAAAAACAAATTCCAGGTTTCAGCATCATATTGGAATTAGTTAGACAAATATGTATATGATTACAAATTACATTTAAACATTCTGACATTTAAACTGCCTTTATGTCCTTTAAATGTTCTTTTTACAATTTAGATAGACATGTACATTTAATCGTGAGTACATGGCAATGAAACCTGAACATAAATTAACAATTGGACTGGTTGTGTTGTGATTTAAAGCACAAAAAGGAAAGCACCACAGAGAGCCTGGCTTTTGGAATTCTTTCCAGCCGCTTAATAAAAGCTCTGCTTTAGTTCATGTTAACTAAGTGGTGCCTAACAATATTCTGTCCATATGATTCTCTCTAAAGGATGAATTGGGGGATTTCAGGTTGGTTTTTGGTTTTTTGTTTAGTTTTGTTTTTTGTACTGAGCAGCTTTTAGTCTTACAAGACCCACTCGATCCCTACTTTGACAACCCATATCTGCAAACAATAATTCATACTGAAAATCTGAGTTGCATGACAAGAGCTATCCAAATGGAAATTGCATCCATTATGGTCCTTATTAAATCTCAGTGCATCAACTCAGAAATTGATCTGTTTACCTCACAGGATTAACAGACAATGCCTCATTTTTTTCACAGGAAGGAGGGAGGGGGGATTCTCCAGTCTCTCTGTAACACCTCTTTTCTTGAAACATTCTTGTTTTACATGTTCCCACACATTACATAGTTCTTAGGATCAACAGAGATTCAACTGCATTTCCATGATACCTGTTGCCATCAGGATGAGGTAATGCAGGCTATTATGTTGGTTTCTTGGAAGTTTTGTACTCGAGCAAATAAATGGACTCAGGGATTAAATCATAGGCAAGTTTTGAAATCATTCTACACCAGTAAATAATTTATTCACGCTACGTTAGATGCGAAGATAACTCCTGAAATTTAACTTTATAAAATTTACAACATAATGAGCAATATAGAAAACAATGCTATTAATACAGTGAATTAATCATGTTAAGAGAAGGATTCCTCTTTGCAATCAATGGCTATGGCCTTTAAGTGGAGTTGTTACTACTAATTTAAAAATGCCATGGTAGTCACATACTAATCCTTCCAAGCAATACAATGTAATCTTCATGACCTTTGTGGACAGTGATGCAAGTGACAATAGTGACCTTCCATCTGGGATTGATAGCATATTCAGAAATTTTATACCAGTAGACTAAAATTATATCTCTTGACAATCACTACCTTTGACTCAGTTTAAAAACTTAGGGCTGTGAAGCTTAGTCTGATTTGTAACCCAGTAATAATAATAATTCCCTGCTGGGCTACTTTCAGCCTGCCATATCATGCAATGAATCCAGGCCTATCTATCACCCTAAATCATGCAGTACATCTTTAAGGAGTTCCTGCTTTCTAGCAAAGTTAAACCCCGCTGCACAGCTGATCATCGGAAATACCAGTTCAGAGGAACCGGTAGCCTTTTTTTTACTACTAGTTCACCTGAACCGGTAGTTTTTATCACTACCAGTTTGCCCGAACCGGAGCAAACCGGTAGCATTTCATCCCTGAGTGAGTTCTAGCCTCACATTGGACATGGAGCCAGCTTGGTGACCTTGGGCCAGTCAGTCACTCTCAATTCTAAGAAGAAGGTGGTAGTGATAAACCAATTCTGAAAAGCCTTACCAAGAAAACTGAAGGATTAGTTCAGGCTGGCACAAAAAATAAATCCCTGTATTGTGGCAGCCCTTAAATCATTTTAACCATCCTTTACTATTGGACCGTACAATCTGTACAAATGTGACAAATATGTGCACCTCTGTTACATAACAATCTAGGCAGGTTCAGGGCTATGTAAATAGACAAAGTATTTTCCTTTTATTTTCCCCATTTTGTTGACTCATAAAAGTAAGTCAGCTAAGTCAGCTAAAGCATTTTGTATAGATGGCTCTCCATCCTCTGAAAATCTCCATGAGGTAACCTATTTCTCTGGTTACAGCTCTCATCATTGGAAACAACTCCTAGTATTTAACCAGAGTGTAGTTTCAATGCTTTCTGGTTTTATATTTATGATTGTTACTCCTGAAAATCAACAGTAGTGGAAACTTTGCTTGAAATACAAACAGCAGCCTTAGAAAGTGGCAAGACAAAGAATGTCTTCCGTCTGTCACATTCTCTTACAATCTCAAACTACACAAAATTGCTCTTGATTACTGCTAGTTACAAATTTGTGTGTGTCCATTGTATTCTTCCAAAATCTAAGAAAGCCTTAATGCTTGTGGTTGGAAACAATGATTTTGGTCAGGAGCTATAATCTGAAACCTTTAAGGAAACATTTCAAATACACATATTTCATAGACTGCTACAGGCAATTTAACTCTCGGGATTTGGGGGACTGTATTTCATATGAACATTTACCTTGCCTTTTGACCTTGAATAATTTCCCTGCCTTTTGAATAATTTAGCTTGAATAATTTCCATATAAAATATATGTTTTATATTTACATTTGCAGATAGTAAGAAGTTAATCTGATTTCTGCTTTGCCTTGATTGCAAGCTTCCAACACACTTGTGCAGTCTTATCCAGAATGCTAAATTAATAAGCACTGGTGTGTTCCTCAAAACTGAAATACTTAGCCTGATCTTAATTTTCCAATGAAGTTCTGAAGAGAGTTTAATTCTTCTTAATCTGAAATTTTACCTCTGCTTCTGACAAATCAACCCATGAGCACATGGGCAACGATCAAGAGCTCCATCTGGTTCCAGCTCCCAAGTAATTAGGTTGAGAAGCCCATCTGAAGGATTACGGCAAGGTTCTCTCTCACCAGGGAAGGGGGTGCATATGGGGAACAAAAGATCTGTTGAGAAAAGTGGAAGAGCCTGGTTATTTTTATTATATGCAAAAGTTGAATTATTTATATTATTCATGTTACTTAATTTAACCACATTTAAAATTACACCATAACACATTATAACTGAAAATTAATGGTAGATATTTTATCTAACTATTATTCATTTCAGAAAAAGGTTTTGAGTTTACTTGAGCTACAGACACAATACAGTATTTATGACAAGGAAGCCCAAAGGAAATCTTGCCCTGAAGCGCCATTGGCACATATACATACACACATACTTAACTTCACAACTGCTATGCAATTTGTAACTAGCATTACATCAATAATGTTCCTGTTACAAACAAATTTAACTGAATCAGAGAATTGGAAGCTGCTATTTAAACCATTAAATCCAACCCCTGCTCAGTGTGGGAATCTTTTAAGCTTTTCTTTGAACATTCCAATGGAATAGTACCTAACG